TCATCCAAAGCTTATGTTTAGAGTTCCGTTTCCAACCAAAGGAAACAGAGTATATTCCAAGAAAAAAGGTATCATTTAAAAGGTAAAAAGAGGTATTATTAAGCTAATTAATTTGGTTTATTAATTAGTAAAAAGGAGAGAAAAACCACAAAAAGGGGGGGAAAAACGAAACAAAAGAGCCGGTTCTCATCACCTCGGGAATGACGCTGATCATAGCAGAGTTCCTCCGCTACAGCTTCATAAAAAAAAAAGAGAGAAGAAAACAAAAAGAGAGAGAGAGGACTCCATTTTTCTTTTTTGCGCTTCTAGAGTCGTCATGTACAGTGTCGTTGTGATGAGATTTCACACGTTGAGGATGACCGAAGCAACCTTGTCCTTCCTTTGGACGGCCTTGACCGCGGCCACTCTCGCAGCGTTTGCTGCTTTGTTCGCGGCCGCCACGGCCTTGTTGACGCGATCATCCACTCGCGGAACGTCCAGGGCTTTCTTCCCAGCTCGTCTCGCTTCCTGGAAGCAAGAGCTCGATTAGATCCGATCGAGAAAGCTAAATCTTCGCACTTGGCTGCTACTAAGACTCGAAGAACTCGAAGAAAGAAGACGAGTTTGCTACTAAGACTCGAAGGACTTGAACAACGTGAGAGAGGAGTTTACCTGGACGACGTTGAGAACTTTGGCGTGGCTTACGGCCGTCGAGGAACCTGGAGCCGGGTTCAGTGTGCTGGGAACCTCCAATGCACCGCAGTTCCAGTGGCCGGCCTGCGTCTCGCCGTTTCGAAACGTGTAGAGTCCCAGGCCTTGCTTGCGGCCTTCGTGCCAGGCACCCTCGTACAAGTGCCCGTTCGCAAAGTGGTAGACTCCATAGCCATGCATCTTGTCGGCGAAGTACTCGCCAGCGTAAGTATCACCGTTCCTGGAACAAAGCCAAAAGAAAGGTTGGAAGAAACTTTCTCGGACGATCAAGCTTACCTGAATCTGTAGTAGCCAAAACCATGCTTCATCCCACGCTTAAACTCCCCCACGTACCGACTTCCATCCTCGCAAGTCTGGACGCCATAGCCGTGACTTTGGCCTCCACACCACTCCCCGGAGTAGACATCTCCCGTGTAGAATCTGTAAACTCCATAGCCGTCTCTCAATCCTTGCCTGTACTGCCCCCGGTACCGGCTTCCTCTAGCCCAAGTCTCGACGCCATAGCCGTCATACTTCCCATCCACCCAGTCTCCCTCGTATTTCCCACTCAAGTAGAAGTAGTAGACACCACTTCCCGAGAATCTTCCCTGGTAGAACTCACCTTCATACACGTCTCCGTTGCTGTATCTCTGCACGCCTTCGCCAAAAAGCCGGCTTTTCTCGATCCTCGGCTTGGAACCGATAGTCCAGGTGATTGTCGGCCCACCAGCAGTAGCAGCCGAGGAAGAATTCGAGCACCTCTTGTCCCTGTGATCGTCCAGGAAAATCCCCAGCGGCCGCAGGAGCATCCCATTCAGCCGGCTGTGCGCCAAGATGGTCCGAAGCACGTAGAGCGAGTGCGACTTGGAGGAGACGAAGTGGACGAGAGCCACCCTCGCGCAGAAGGCCAGAGCCGCGAAGAAGAGCAGCATCGCGAGAAAATCCAGCCAGAAGCTCCCAGTGCTGGAGCCCGAGTAAGAAGAACTGGCGCTGGTGGATAAGCCCAAGCTCGAGGAAGACGAAGATGGAATGCTCGTAAACTTCCAGTACCACCACACGAAAGGGACGAGGACGAGCACCACTGGAGGTAGCAAGAGCTGGAACTCAAACCGGGTGCCTCTTTGATGAAAGCCCACTATATCCTGTCCTCGCGGAGTCTGGTCGACCTCTGGCAAGAATCCACCGCCGCTACGCCCACCACCACTACCACCACCACCACTACCGCCGCCGCCGCCACCTACATCGCTGCTCAAAGAGGAGGAAGAGCCCACTGTGAGCTCCGATAAGCACGAGAGGCTATCAATCCCGGCCTTGACAGTCGGCGAGCGGCACAGCGATGGAGAGCGTCCTATCTTGGAGATTATCAGTGATTTTCCAGTCGCCGATGGAGACTCGATCTCCATTCTTCTAGCTCTTGGATTTTCCCCTCAAGACACCATAATCCGCTGCCCTGTGCATCCTAGAATCCCTCTAGCTCCTCCTACCTCGCATTCTTGGCCGATGATCCAGCGCTGGAATCGTGGCAAGCTCGCGCATTCCAGGAGAGGGAGAAGCAAACACACCTCCACTGTAGCAACCCTAAAACAACGAAGACGATCGCGATTCGCGATTGCGTCGCTGGCTTGTCACTGCCAATACTGCCGCGCCGATCCAGGAACCCTAGGCGGCGACCTGCGCGCGCCAGGAGAATCTCTTGCGCGCCCTCGCGTTGCTCGCGAGTGATTCTCTCCCTCGTTTTTTTCCAGCAAAGAAAGAAGCTAAAATGGTAAGAAAATCCTCTTTTCACCTGATTAGTAAAACCGTTTGCCACTTAGCGGGGTGAATATGCCGCGGAACATGCTCTCAATTATGCCGCTTGCCAGCGTGGCCGATAGCGACTTAAGATTAATCAATATGATTGGATGGTTTGGAAGAAATTTTTCTCCTACGTTTTGTATGATACTATCGACCTGGGCCTACTTTCTAAGGTTGAAAGAATCTAGGATTCAAATAATAAGAATATCTGATCATCAAAGGTTCTATATAAAATATCTACTGGTAGTATACAAGTTTTATAATAATATTATAATGTAAAGGTTAACTAAAAGATAACACAAATTGGCCTTTAAGCCCTTGAAGAGAGAATTAGGGCTTTAGGTTTCTAGCATGGCGGGAGGCGATGGCTCAGGTCAGTGTGATGGGATCCATGTCCTTTTCCTGGCGGCGCATTCCTAGCTATTGCAATCCTCGCAGTGGACAGACGCCTCACGGATTTGGAGAAGACGCAATTGCGGCGCAACAAGTTCGCGCTCAAGATCGGCTTTGGCCTCTTTTTCGCTGTAAATATCGTCTTGATTGGTAAGCATTTTCATTTCTAGGCGGGAGTCCTATGCAAAAGTGGTTTTTCTTTCGAATCTTATATTTTTTGGAGCAGGGCATGCTTTAGTGACTGATCCAAAGTCTGTTTATTCGCCGGATCATCACACCAATCTCCGGAAACAGAGATTGGCCGCTAGAGAAGCCGAGAAAAATCGTCAAGACTCGCAAAAACCTCTCGGAGACTCGCCACAAGCCGCAAGTTAGAATTCCTTGCGAGGTACGTATGACTTCTCCTCTCCAGTTTTACTTTTTCCCTGGTTTTGTTCTTGATGCCATATTCAGGACTGCGAACTCGACGTGAAAATCACTCTTTACATTTTGTCTCAGAACTTTGGAATACTTTTTTCCTTTTCTCAATGGAGGGATTGCGGGCTTGCTTGAAACTTCCTCTCTGGATTGGAACTTGTAAGATACACCAGGACCTTTCTCGATCAAAAGTTGCGACATGGGGGCTACCTTCTTTTTCTAAAAGAAAAATGGATGGACCCAAGCCTGATGATCCAATCCTCCTAACGTTTTTCACATATCCAAGTAACCATTGCGAGCTAGCACTTTTAAGAATTGTTCAGAGTTTTCAATTGTGTCACGAAAAAGGATGTACTGGCAGGAGTTTTTTGTTTGAAGTGTTATACAAGGAATTCAACCATTTTTGTCCCAAAACTTTTGGAGATTTTTTCTTTCTTTAGATCTTCGCCATATCCAAAATAATTTTAAAAGGAAAAGATTATACGCACCAACAGAGGACAAATGTATTGCAACAATGAGCTCTACAACATTTTCTTCTTCTCCCTCAAAGAAGCATCATGGCCTTTTCGTGGTAAAGAGCGGCGAAACCATCAAAACGATTCTAAACTTGTTGTGCAAAATTTGATATCGTCATGAAATGAGGTCACAAAAAACAATTCGTTTTCTAGCCTGATGGTAACACTTTTTTTTTTAAATTTTCTTACGTGCATTCTTTTGATCGATCGTGCCAGATGCAAAAGTTTAACAAAAACTCTGCAACGAATATTCTTGACCAAACCAGCAAGCATCTTTCAAACGTGGAAACCCTTTGCCTTTTACGTGAGGAAACCCTAATTTCAAAGGTGTTCACTGCCAAAACGGGAAAGAAAGCTTGGTTTTTTCACACAGAGCTCCAGAACAGTACACATATGTCACCATCCTGTCTCTGTGTTTGTTTGTGCTTGTTTGACTGAGCTCTTTTTGACCAAGTCTCTCTAAATTTCTTTCTAGTAATTCTTTTATTTTCAAAAATTGAAAATAAAAATTTCTGCTTCAGCTGCTCTGCACAATGCAAATGCAGGTCTGCCACAGACCCTGGCTGCAGTCTGAGGAAAAATCACCTCCTCCTCCCATCCATCCATCCTCTCACTTTCATACTAATCTCTTGTTAATTTCCATGCCTAGTGGAAAGCAAGTGCCCCTCCCTCCCTCCTTTTTTTTTGTTCCTAGGCCCAGCACAGACAAACAGATGGCAGCAAGAAGGATTCAGGAAAAACAGCAGCTTTCCTATCTATGCATTTTTAAAATGTTTTTTTCTTGAGGGGTGTTTTTGTTTTGATGCGGTCCAGTGCAATGGATCATGGGCTGCTAACACCTCTCCTCAGATGAGTCAATCAAGCATTGGCAGCTGTAACATCAATCCAATCTCATCAGGAAGGATTGCAACTGGGCGTCAATTTAAAAAAGAAAGGCTGGTTTGCATCCTGTCCCTTGATTCGGCCCACATCCGACGGCGGTTCCAAAGATTCCTGTTTCTCGAATTCGTGGCCTTGGTTTCAACTTGAACGTCAAAACAAAGCCAGCCAGCCAAGGAGAAAAGGTCCCACGTTTCCAGATTCTCCTGCTGCTCGATGCATGGACGGGGCATATTCCCAGTTCCAATAGATGAAATCATTATAACTGGAGAGGCACCTCCCCAATTATGAAGTCAGCTATAGCTTGCTAGAGTCGTCTGGAAAGCAAAGAGAGAAAAGAGAAGAAGAAACGTACATACAAATCGTTTGATGATTGACATTATGTGTGCGGTTCCTTCTGGAAGCCTGAGGTTTAAGCCTGGCAATTACTCTATCTTAAGAAAGAGATCAGGAGATCAGGAGCTCACCAGATAAATCATTCCATTTGCAGCTAATTTGGAAAAGGAAATCACCCACCTAAACTTAGCGTTCATCCCCAAGTTGTTCTTCCAGATAAGTTTGTCTGTATTGTTTGCTCCTGTTGGCTGACAGAGACCTCATATTTGGAGACCCAAAGAGACCTGAGAGCTGTTGTAGCAAAAGAAAAAAGAGACCAGCAGGGATTAAAATACAGCAGGCAAGCAAGGCAAGCAAATCACACCTCCAAGAAAAACAAAAATCTTTGATAACCAGCAAACACACACAGCAACATCACATGGGCTGTTTTTAATCCCTCCTGGCAAGAAACACCAACAAAGAGGTATAGAAGATACATACCTCTCATTGGAGAGATCTTGGAGCAGCAGCAGCAGCAGTAAGCATGAGCCCAGTGGTAAGTTTTTCTCCAGCAAGGAAGTAAGACTTCGGTCACTTTGGCCATGTGTTTGCTGGCTGGCTGGCTGGATCATGTCATGTCATTACACTCTGGCAGCAGAGAAATTCCCTCCCTGTTCACAATCATAGACTCTTTTGATCCATCTCTTGTTTGTTTACAGCATCTCTTGTTCAAGGACTGAGAAAGAGAGGGACGAGCATTAGATTAGATTAATTAGCGGCATATAAAACGATAAACGAGTGAATAAAACAATGGAAGCAGACATACCGAGAAATACCTCTGTATAGTGTGCGCGCGCGCGCATATCGCTATGCGGTGTGTGTGCCACGATGATCCAGCCAACTTGTTGCTACACCAAAGTCAAATTGCTGTCTGTGCACGACGGCATCATCACGCGGGGACGCGGTAAAAGATGGTGGGCTGCACTGTCTGCTGGCTGTTCAAACCAAAGGCAAGACTCAAATTGATGAGCACGGAAAAACTTACGGCCGGGCCGAAAGTCGCTCGAGCCATCTAGTCGGTCGATGATCTTCCAGCCATCTAGTCGGTCGATGATCTTCCAGAGCAAGAGGTATTTTTGCGTTGGACCAGAGGTGGTAGGCAAGCAACAGTGGTGATCGCCAGGAACGAACGCTCTCCTGGAAAGAAGAGAAAGAAAAGCAAGAAAAGCAGGGATTCTTAGAGTTTGATTAAGTCTTGAGAGACTAAACTTACGTGCTTGTCGCTCTGGCGATGTCGGCCCATATGTCGCTATTCATGAACAGGAACAGTGCTGCTGCTGCTGCGGTGCTGAGCTAGTGCTGCGAACTTGAACGATTCCTTCCTTCTCGGCCAATATATCCCACAAATCTGGTCCTCTTTTCTTTTCTTCCGCTGGCTGCCTAGCGTTGAGCGCTCGGTCTCATGAACCAAAGGGACCCATCCGGAACACCACCTGCGCGACACGCTACCTCAAGCGGAGGACCCGGCGCTGGATTTCTTTGATTTTTCAATCCTGGAGGGCTCTTGAAAGCCAAAGCTTTTGTGGAGCGTCCTGTCTTGCTTTTCTTCTTTTTCTTCCGCTTTCGATAACTCGTTGTTCTTTCTCCGCTTCCCTCCTGTTGTTATGTAGTATATTTTTCGAGAGAGCTGCAGTCTCTCCATTTTTCTCCGCTCCAAATTTCTCGTTGATGTGTACGAAGCCCCCTCTTCTTCTATCATTTTCTATTCATGGCTCGGGGCGGTCTCAGTCTCGTCTGAGTTAGTTTCGCTGCTTGGCTCGTCCGCTCGCGTCGCTCGATCGCTCTTGTTTTCTTTTCCTCTTTCCTTTTCTTTATGGTTTCTTTTTAGTACTCGCAACTTCGTCGCCCGTTGGTCGGACAGTCCTCTCCTCGTTTTGGCTTTTCTCCAGATTTCAAGTGCTTCTATTTCCGCTCCTCGCCGCATATAATATCACCCTCACATTCTTTCTGTCCGCCGCTCCATGCAAATTTCCTGAAACCCAACGAAAGCCCATCAGCGGAGTGAGCACTTCCAAAGCAAAGTAGCTATGCTATATAGTTCTCTCTAGGCAGCAGCCACTCCCACATCCCTCACAAGCGCAGAGCTAGAATTTCAGCGAAGTGTGTCTGTACCTGGAGCGGAAGCAGCACTTGGAGCAGCACTTGGAGCAAAGCAGCTCAATCTCGCTCTCGTTGGTGCCTTGGAAGTGTTAAAAAATCCGCCTTGTTTGAGCAGTAGCAAGAACCGAGGTAATAGGTGCTATGGAGTGACCGTCGTCCATGTGCGGCCTCGTGCAACACTGTTGCTGTTGAATCCTACACGTGCACTCCCAGTTGTTCATCTTCCCGTTTGCTTGTGGAGCTATAGCCTGTGCTCATATCCCCAAATCATCACCTCCCTTTCCTTCTTCTTCTTCTTCTTCCTCTTCCTCTCTCTCTCTCTCTTTCTCCATCTCCATCCTTGCAAATATCAATCAAGAGTCCTGGAAAAACAAAGCGCTGAGAGAGAGAGAGAGAGAGAGCGTGAGTATAAAAATGCGTGGCTTTTTTTATGTACCACTCACATCAAATCACTGAGAGCTGAGCTGCCCGATCCTGCTGCTCCTGCTGCTGCTGGCTGGTTATAGACCTCGGTAGATGCCTCTCCACTTCAAGCTGTAGAAAAGGAAAGCCGGGTCTTCAAAGCTGTGCTTCTTGTACTTCATATATTCGGCTCTTGGTCGCGTTTTTAAGGAGAGAATCACAACAGGCCGCTGCTGCTGCTGCTACTGCCGCCGCTGCTGCTGCTCCTCCTCAAGCGTGTATCTCTAGCTCTTTCGTTGCTACCTCGTCTCCTCCTCTTCCCCCCACTCTCTCGCTGCTCTTTAAGTTTGAGAGGTAGAGCTACAGTTGAGCCTGATCTGAGTTGAGGCCGAGAGTTTTCTTCGATTTTCTGCTCCAACGTTGCAGCAGGTACTTGGTTTTGTTTCCGCAGGTCATGGGTCTCTCACGTAGGCCGGAGAATGCAGGGAATTCTCAGCTTTGATGGTCAGTTCAGTCCAGGGATAAATAACAGTCTCATAGCAGGTGGGTTGGAGATGAAAACGAAGAGGAAAAACTCGCTCTTTTGGCCAGTTCTAGAGCGCGACAGCAGCTCCCGCATTTTCTGGTAGCAAGAGAGCACACTGCAGCAAAGGCAAAGGGTTAGTACAAGCTAGAAGATAGATAGGAAAGCATGGATCCAAGCAGGCTTGGTCGTTTGCCTCCTCCATTCTCGTTCCAGCCAATGCAACCCCTCCAGGAGCACGACCACGGGCAGCAAGGTCCCTCCCTGCACAACTCGGAAGAGGATGAGTACAGCAACAGCAGCGGCCAAAACACCATGACTCCAAGCAACAAAGGGAATGGAAACAACAAAGGCATGAGGAAGGGAATGGGGAACAAAGCCATGGGAGAAGCCGGCGAAGTTGTCCGCAAGCCCCGAGGCCGACCACCCGGCTCCAAGAACAAGCCCAAGCCGCCGATAATCATCACCCGTGAAACAGGAACTGGCATGCGTCCACACGTTCTCGAGATCGCCTCTGGTTGCGACGTCCACGAGTGCATTGCAACCTTCGCACGCCGCAGGCAGCGCTCCCTGTGCGTGCTCGGCGCCAGCGGTACAGTCTCCAACGTGACGCTGCGGCAGCCGACGGTACCACCCGGCGGTAACTCGGCCTCGGTCTTAACTCTCCACGGACGCTTTGATATCCTCTCCATGTCCGGCACCTTCATGCAGCCCACGGCACCGCAGCCTCTCATGCCAATGCCGCTGCCGCCAACTTCGTCACCGTCTCTTTTCGGCGGTGGTGGTGGCGGTGGTGGTGGCGGCGGAAGCAATGCTTCTAGTCCGTCCAGCATGCCAACTTGTCCGAGCTCCGGACTCACCATCTCCATGGCCGGAGCGCAGGGACAAGTCATTGGAGGACTAGTCGTAGGGGCTCTCATGTCCGTAAGTCCGATACTGGTGATAGCCGCCTCCTTTCTCGGACCTTGTGCAGAGCGCTTGCCTCTGGACGAGCACGAGCAGGATCAGCACGGGATGCTGAACGGAAACAATGGAGGTGGACCGGGTCTTCCTCCACACCACTTGGCTTTAGCCGCTGGAGGATCGGGAGGTGGTCCTTCGGGAGGAATGGGTCCTGGCAGCGTCCCCAATGATCCTTGCGCCATGTCTCTGTATAATCTTCCGCAGGTGTCGCTGGGAAACCAGATAACTCCAGATATCCTGGCTTGGGCTGCTGCAGCTGGCGGAAGGCCCCCCTTCTGATCATTCATCGTCTCTTCTTTCGCTTCATAATCTTCTCTAAAATTCGTTCGTGCTGCTGCTGCTGTTGTTGCTGCTGCTGCTTCCTGCTGCTTTCTCCGAGAGTTTCTTCACTGGGAGCTAAAGATCACTAGCTCTCAAACCAGATTTTTTCGTCTTGTTCCATCTTTTCGGACACCTGCACCTGCAACAGCGAACGATTTTGTCAGAGGCTCTGGAATTTTCACGAAACTGGCACGTACCTCCTGATTCGGCGTTCCTCACATTCATGCGGTACGCTGAGCTTTTTTTAATCTCTTTCACTTCCTCTCTTCAAAGGCCTGCTGCTGGAAATTTGGCTGCTGAAGGAAGCTGTACAAGCTCGATTTGAGTTTCCAGCAGCTCGTGCAGCGCTCGGATGCTGACTTCACTGCGCGTACGTGTCTACAATTTGATCCCGAAGATTCAAGTCTCTGCAAGCCCGGAGCGAGGCTCACTCTAGCTAGGCCGTGGACTTGCTCGAGACGACAAATCTCCGCTCCATTGGACAAGAAAGGAGCTGCTCGGAATGCTTGTATAGATTGCTGAGATAATTGCTCCTTCCTTTTCCCGCGTATCACTCCTCGCTGTAGAAAGCAAAAAAGAAAAAAAACAAAGAGAGCAAAATATCTAGTTAATTGTCATCTATGAAAAGAAAAAACGAAAAGAAATCAACTTTCCCCGCGCATTACTCCTCCGCCCAGCAGCAAAAGATGAAAACTTTTACGTGAGATTAGATCTTGCATGCAATCTTATAAAGAGAGATCCGGAGCAGCATTGCAAAAATGGACTCGAGATTCTCTTTTCGCTCAGAAAATGGCTTGTCCATACCAGCCCGTTCGGCGAAAGAATTCGACCAACATTGGCCATCGCTGCCGAGACGTGGACAAGACACAGTGATGGCTCTATTTCTCATCCTTGTGTCTTGGCACACACGTTCTCCCTGCCACAAAATGCTTGGCTTGTCTTGAGCTGGACAGCAAAATCTTCTTCCTTTTCCCAGTCAAGCCCCCATTACTACAAAGTTACTCGGCCTTACGACGATTCGTTTTTGCAACTGCAGAACCCCCCCACGCCGTGTTGGATCATTCATTTCCCACTGTCTCTTTCCCTGGACATTTTGATTCTGTGTTCTCCTCCTTAACTCCTGATTGTAACTTCCTTATGTGAAAAAGACCCCCTCTGTGCTGCTGCTGTTCTCTGGTGTGTTGGCTTTTCTTCCCATCTTCCCCTGTTTAGGACTCGAGAACGGAGGCTGCCTGCCTGCCTGCCTGCCTTCACTCATGCCGGCCTGGAATTGCCACTTTGCATGCAGCCTGTGATACTTTGCTAGTAACGCTCCAGAGGATGTTCTAGAAGTGCACTTAAACCCGCAGAATAGACCGCTTAAACTGGCTTTGCTCCCTGCCTGTAAGGAAACACAATGCCTTTTGGTTAATGGGATTCCACATCAAAAGAACGGAAGACAACTTGCCTCTTGCGCAGAGCGGACGGAAAGTAAAAAGGAGAGAACTTACATCGAGTGCCAGGCCTCCCACCAAATATTTGACTACCGAGTTTGGACCTACATTGACAAAAATGTATCTGCTTAGCTCCCACACACAGATCTACCTATGGACACGATGTGTTGGTGGCTTCCTCTCGCAGGGCATCCTCGGCTTTTATTACCCCCTGCAGGAAAGCGTACATCAGTGGTGAATTAATATAATCGACAAAATCTCAGCCCCTCACCTGAAGAATAAGGATGGCTGCCGTCTTATCTAGGACTTCATTATATTCGTCACATGAAAAGTACTGAAAATCCAGAGCTTTAGCAGCAAAACAAACAGTGTCGCTACTATTACGCACCTGAACGCAGTTTGGGCAACCAGTGTTCCCAGTACAGTCACAAGACAGCACTTGTTCCAATGCCGCCTGGAGTAACTCCGCAAAAAGTGGCTGCGCCTGTAATACAAATGCAGGTTAGAAGGAGGCGCTTGAACTGCTAAAGATTTTTCACCTGAGCAGAAATCCCGATGCCACCCGGACAACGATCGAAGACAAGCAACCTTACCGGATAATAACGTTTATCTTGGGGGTGAGCACAGTCTGTACCGACGTCTGACGGGTTGCACATGATATATCTGCAAGAGAAAGTTGATTTTCAAGCCTCTGAATCAGGAAAACTTACAGCGGAAGGACGTTTAAGAGTGCATGACAGGCTGAGTGAAGGCCAGCTCGCAAATCAAGACATTTGGCCTCAACAGCTTCCTTGACTTCGTTGGGAACACGAATCCAAGCCGCCTATAATGCAGACTCAAGTCGGAAGTCCTTCCACGCTCAAGTTAAAATTTCACCTGAGAATCGTACGAAACGTTTGGAAGGTGAAGATCAACTGAATCGAAAGTTTCATTCGAAACTTCCCAGATCTTTCGAAATCCAATCCAGGACGTCGTTATTTGGCACCTGTTCACTTGTGCACTCGTGAGCCGGTATTTGACATCTGAGGCTCTTTTTGGATAAGTCTGTTCATCTTCGTTCGTTAGCTTTCAGAAGCGATTCGCGAAGCTAAGCTTACCAGTTCACTGCCGACAACGTGCACGTCGGTGTAGTCTCGAGTTTTAGTATAGTACTTCACATCTGTTGGACGGCAGAAAGCCAACCTTTCCGTCAGGTTTAACCTGTTTACCAAAAACTTTTTTCCCTGATTTATATATACTGCACCTTCGTAAATCTGCAAAGATTATCCTCGTAAAGCTTTAGTACGACGATATCGGCTTTGAAACCTGAAAGAACGCTCTATTTGCTTCCACTTCTTCAATAACCTTGCTAGTAACCTCATCGACAATAGAATACTTGTCTGGATCGATCGCTCTGATGCTGAAGGTAGCCGAGGGTAGCTTCTGAAATGACAACACAAATGAGAGTCTCCCATATGTAAAAATACGTACAGCTTCTCCAATGTAAGTCCAGGAATTGACGATTGAGCAACTCGGATGACGGGCAACGCATCCTTTTCGGACAAGTTCCGATATTGCTCCATCCAAGCTGGTACTGAAATAATCTTCATCGTAGACACTATGCAGATGATGTTCAAATGCTGCGCACGTCAGATGCTGTCCCAGGACCTGCACCGAGAAAACATTTTCTGAAAATGTGTCACTGTCATCTTTTATACCTGTGGATTGTGAGAATCAATCTGCGCGTTTTCAATGGGCCTCGAAAATAGTCTCAAAGGTTCTTTAAAGAAATGCTGGTCTAAAGGCCCTTCAAATGCCACGTAAATTGATAAGGACGTCTTCTCCCTTCGGCCAGCTCGTCCTGCTTGTTGCCACAAGCTGCAAACACGATCAGGCCATACTGACGCTTTTAAACAGTCTCACCTTGCCACTGTACCAGGAAAGCCAAGATGCAGCGTGGCATCCAGGCTTCCAACGTCAATGCCAAGCTCCAAAGCGCTTGTTGCGGCCACACCACGGAGCTTTCCTCCAAACAGATCCTTTTCGATGCGTCGCCGTTCCTATCGAAAAGAGCCTTATGAGATATTTGAATAACGTTGTCACGACCTCTGGAGTGTAGCCCGCGCGATACGCTTGAATAGTGTGGACTAAATCAGGCGCAGTTTCTTTTAAAACACCATGACTGCAAAAATGATGTCAACCATAATACTCAAGAGCAAAGGATAATTTACGTGTATGCCAAAACAAGCTCGCAAAGTTTACGAGTCTTGCAAAATGTTATGCACCGTAGTCCATGTTGCACCATTTCGGCAAAGAGATACGCAACCTCTAGAATTGGGCTGCAAAAGGGGCAAATGCGTAAACCTTTCAAAATGTCAAGAGCTTGCACCTGAACCGCTTGGCTGGCTTGTCGTCTCCAGGATCCTTGATCCCCCGGACGGGAGGATTCCAAAGTAAAAACAGCTTTTCACCGCATGGGCTTCCATCCTCAGCAATGGACGTGACCTCTCTCAGGCCTGTAAGCTCCTAGAACAAAAGAAAAGAGATGAAAAAACGTTTAACTTAACCAACACGATACCATTGTGTGCTCCCTTGGGTTTGCTACTGTGGCGCTGCAGACGATAAAGGTCGGCACAGTACCGTATACTGCAAAACAATGCCGGTAAACGCCAACAAAAGTATACGCAATAAAAGAAAACGAACAATGAGCACATATGCGCCGTAACCGACGTAGGATGAGAGCAACGTGACAACCAAAAGCTCCTCGATACGCATGAGCTTCATCAATCACTAGGTGCCTGGACGATACACGTAGTTAGACAACAGACTAAAGCCATCCCGCTTACCGGAGGTTTGAAAGAAATCGTGCAAATTGTTTATGGAACGGCAAAATCGAGCAATGAAGCATGTCCGGATTAGTTATCAGCTGAAGTCAGGTGCAAAAGATTAAAGCATATATCAGAGAGAAACTTACGATTCTGGCCTTCTCTCGTAAAGTTTGCCTTTCAGCCTGACTCGTATCGCCGTCATACACTCCCGCCGTTATATCATTTGAGAAAGCTAGCAAAGCCCGTAATTGATCTTGGGCTAAGGCCTGGAAAAGGATAATTCTTGAGCTAGATAAAAGAACACCGTGGACTTGCCTTGGTTGGAAACAAATACAAAGCACATGTTTCAGTGCTGCTTAACATAGACTCCAAAACAGGAACGTTGTAACACAAGGACTTCCCGCTTGCGGTAGAGGTGGAAACTACAATGCTTTTGGACATCAAAGCGGCATCCACTGCCAATGCCTGCAAAAAGGACGAATAAGAAGAAACGGACATTGTTTAGAAACTTCTTTTGGTTTGTCCACCTGGTGTGTATAAAGTCTAGCAACACCAATGTTCTTCAAAGCAGTTTTTGTAGCATTTGAGAGCTCACCTTGGAGCATACCAAATTCAGCATGTCGGCATTTCAATCTTTCGCAATGAATTATCTGTAACACTTTCCGCGTAAGATATATTGAAGTGAAAAACAAACTGACCTGGCCAGATGTTCCTAGCACTTCCTTCAAATGCTCTACCATTTCAGAAGCTGATAGTGTCTTGACATCCTGCTGAATCAAATCAGATAGAAAACAGAAAATGCTCTCGAACAGACCTTGCAATGTTCTTGTCGTCGATTACTTGAAGAACCTGAATTTGCACGCCATGGGACTGTGCGTGCATATAGAAGCGGACCTGTTCTTAAAACTCCACCGGGAACACGAAGCTCCTTTGCATATGAACGCATTTGCTCCAATGTAACATCAGACTCGACGCCAGTCTTTGCCTGCATTGCAAGTAAATTCACATCGTCAGGAGACGACACCCATACCCGTATGTTTGAAATTATATCGTTCACAGCGTAATCGAAGGCTGCTTTTCTTCTCTGAGTCAGCTGCGTCAAAGCACTGTCCGACATATTTCGTTTACCATGACAGGACTTTGGAAAAATTTCCATGGTAATAGAGACGTCCTGAGATTCGTCTCCTGTCATACATTTCACCACTATCACCTGCACGAATGAAGACAAAGAATGAGTGAAGTAACGATTTGCCGATCACCTCACCTTAGGACAAATAAAAGCAAGATCTTTGATGTCCGCAAGAGTCACAACTTCGTCAATGTTTGTGCATGAATGCTGCAAAGCACTCTTGACAGATGCCCACGTAAGTTCGATCCGGTTCTTCTCCAGAAATCCACACACAGAATTTAGAGCGTTGAAAACTCTCTCCATCCTTTGGAGTGATGGAGGATACTCGGAAGAACTCTCTCCTGGATTCGTATACTGTTTCCTTCGTTTGCTCGAGTCGGGAGGAACCGCAACACTGGCGCTGGAACTTACATTCTCCGCTGGAGCATCGGACGAAATTTTCGTTCGGGCGTGAGGCACACAGGCGATGAAATCTTCGTCTTGCAGCAACAGCGATGAGATCGGCGTGCTAGGGCTGAGATTCACTCCCTGCAAGCGCAATCCCTCGAAATTCATTCACACCCTGGAAATTTCTCGCTTACCTTGTGGATCAAATGGAATCGCTGCGCTGCGGCTCCATCGTCTAGCATTGGCCACTTCCTCGCGACGAGAAGATCCCTGAGCTCCTGGATCTTCTTCGCAGCAGCTAGAGCGACGAGAATGCTTTGCCCGTCGAGCGTTTTGACGCGTACCAGTGCATCGTCGTCCATGGCTAGGGCTTTCGTTAGAACCCTAGTATTTTCCCGCGCAGAACTTTATCTTAGGGTTTTTAGCCAGGGATGAAAATCTGGGCACTCGCCGCCGCGGCCGCTGCCATTCTCGCGGCGATCGTCTCCCAGTACACGCTGTGCAGGGATTTGCTGCTCTCTAGGCTAGGGATTTGCTGGTTAGGATCATCGGGAATAGCAGTAGCCCCAGCTAGAAATCTCTCGCTTCTCTGGATGGCGCCATTCTTCTCTCCCAGCGGCTATGGCTCCGAGGCGCTCTCCTACGTCCAATCCCTCCGGGGCGGTGAAATTTCGAAGATCAAGATCGTCCAGCATGGGGATTTGGAAGATTATCAGTACTGGAATGGGCTCCCTCGCGAGACAAAGAAGCTGCTGCTCAGGATGAATGGGGAAGAAATCCAGCTCAGGGAATCCATAGTCATCTGTCACAGCGAGCCGGGAGCTTGGTTTCCACCGCTTTTTTCGACGGTTCCATGCCCGCCTGGTGATTATCGCGAGCCTCTCTACGTCATTGGCAGAACCATGTTTGAGACCGATCGCCTGTCTCTCGAGCACGTCAAGCGCTGCAATGCCATGGACGAGGTATGGGTTCCTTCCCAGTTTAACGTGGAAACTTTTGCTTCCAGTGGAGTTTTACGCTCCAAGTTGGTCAAGGTGCCTCAAGCGGTTGATACGCATTTTTTCGATCCCGGGCGAGTCACTCCACTGAAACTCTCCACAGCAGGCCGGGTTTTGGGTCGAGGTTCTGAGGATTCGGAGTTTCTGGCAAGAAGTAGCTTCGTTTTTCTCAGTATCTTCAAGTGGGAGACTCGGAAAGGCTGGGACGTTTTACTACAGGCATTCTTGGAGGAGTTTTCGGCCGACGACGACGTTGCTTTGTATGTGTTGACGAGCTCCTACCATTCGGATGGCCATTTCGGTGACAAAGTTTTGGAGTTCACGCGAGCGATGGGATTAGAAGAGCATTCCAGCGGCTGGCCTCGAGTTTACATCCGTGACGCGCACGTCCCACAGGTTGATCTTCCGCGTTTGTACAAGGCCGCCAGTGCTTTCGTGCTGCCGTCTAGAGGAGAAGGCTGGGGGAGGCCTCACGTCGAGGCCATGGCTATGGAACTGCCAGTGATTGCGACCAACTGGTCAGGCTCCACGGAGTTCATGACGCCCGACAACAGCTACGGTCTAGCAGTGGAGAGACTGAGCGAGATCAAAGAGGGAGCTTTCAAGGGACATAAATGGGCCGAGCCGTCGGTGAGCGAGCTACGGAGCCTGATGAGGCGGGTGTTCACGTACCGCGACGAGGCAGGAGCTAAAGGCGTACAAGCAAGGAAGGACATGGTGACCAAGTACTCTCCTGAGAAGATTGCCGACGTGATCCTCAAAGAATTACTCCGCATACAAAAGCAGCGTAAGTTTTTGTGATTTCGTTTGCATTTCGGTCTCTTCCAGAAGTTTTGACTCTGTTTACAGGTGACAATCGCATGCCCGATAATTGGTCGGTAGCTTTGTGAGATCTTATTCGCTAAGCCGGGTGTAATTTCAAGCCATGAATTTCTATGAAACTTTCCGTGATTGCGGGTCGCAATCACGACCAAAATTTCTCCGTGAGCAAGGGAGCCTATACGAAGGACTTCCAGAAAATCCCGGTAACTTTTGATTCTTTTTCTTCAGAAAGTCGTTTTCAAATTTGACAATCTCCCCGTGCAGAAGCTGTATATTCACAGAAGAAGTTCCACAGACCAGCCAAAGCGAACCTGTCAACCATATTACCAGAACTTCTCACCTCGTGTAAAACTGTAGCTCGGTATTCTGTTTTGACATCGTATTTTAATTTTTCCAGGAGTTTCCATATGAATCAAGCCAAGACGACCTGACGATGACAGACTATCCTGCCAACATCAAGCAAAGCACACGTATATGGGCATCAGTACGATCAAAGTGAGTGGTGTTTCAAGCACGTAACTTTTACAAATTTCTCGCACGTTGCCTTCGCATTCGCTTGCAACCACTACTTTCGACTTTTACAGGATGCCTACGTATCATCTGTTTTCCTTCACACATGATGGTGAATAGCCGAAATCTTGGTGGTGGAGCAATGGGTGACGCTTGAGATCTTGGCCGGTGATAAATCGAGCTCTTGGGCGCCACAAAACAGGTATCTTGCACATAACACATGCTCCAGGTGCGAACAGTGTCTCCCAGAGACTTTCTTGTGTGTTTTACGTCGATAGATTGATAGATCTGCGCGAGCCGAAAGGCTTCGTAGGCAATCTATTTTCTTCCCAGCATCAACCTATCGATCGTCCTCTCCTATAGCTACACGAAAGAGTAACCTCTTTTTGACTTTTGACTCTTTTTTTTCTTTTTTTTTTTTGGGTGGAGTTTTGACATTTTTCTTGGGAGGACAGAGGCAGTGCATATGTGTTGCCTCTCAGATGCCCGAAAATGCCATCTGTGTTTGATCAGGCGGAACGTCACCTTCGTTAGGTATGAGCCAACTTTTTCTAATTAGGAGATAATCGGCACTAGTCATTGTAATCATAGCTCTAATCGAGGTGCGAAGATGGAAGCTAGATTATTACTTCTAGCCAAGCCCAAAAGCCTGCATTAGTAGCAGCCTAGATGGAAGCAAATACCAAGTCCAAAAGCCTGCATTAGTAGCAGCCTAGAAGGAAGCAAATACCAAGAGATGCTTTTCAAATTAGATGCTTCTGCATGAGATTTGTAGTTTGAAACTTGCATTTTACATACATCACTCTTATGTTTCATGATGAAATAGTATATACTTGCACACTCAATTTGAAGTCAAAATATATATATGTTGAAAGATTCAACAGTGTGGCGACACAAATTTAGGTTAGACTTCCACCACCTTGCTGAAACTTCTCCCCGGGAAATGTTGTAAAAAGAAGTAGAGTTTACATCGTAGCATACGACCCAGTATTGCACGACCCAGTATCACATGCCTTTGCCGCTGGCAACAGTACCACAGCGATACGATCTCGATTTGCCGCTTAAAGTAATGGCAATGGAATCTTTCTCATAGACTATCCCTAGAATATTCAGTCAGTTGAACTGAAAAAGGACACCACATACCGTTAACCCCAAAATAAAAGGGCAAAAACCAATAGAATAAGGAACGGCCACGATCGCTCCGGCGCATCTGGGCCGTCCGCAAGATTGTCCACGCAATAGAAAGGCATCTGTGCCGTCGGTGGCCGGATCCAACGGCTGCTGTTGCGCCAGGGCGATGTAGCTGGATTTTTCACCACTTGTTTGGTTTGTTTGTACGTATGCCCTGGGCGCTGCTTCTTCATAACTGTGTGCCCTCCATTCCATGGGCGCTCAAAGGCTTGCTTCTTCCGGGCTCTCTCTTGTCATTCCAACGAGTGGAAGATCTTGATCCATATCCTAGGGTTTTGATCTCCGGCCGAGTCTTGGATCCCAGAGATTGGCGCCGGGAGTGGCGCCTGGAAGAGATCGGCTCGGGTAACAGCGTCTCCCTTTTTCCTCGGTAGCGGCTAGGATTCTGATTGATTTGCGGCCCCGCGGTGCGATCGATCGCTCAATCTAGCCCGAAATATCGAAGATCCATGGCCAGCGGCGGCAGGAATCTGCATGTCTCGCCCCGGCTCGCGTCGGATGCGCTGCCGCTGCCCGTGAGTGTGACCAACAAGCTCTTCTTGATCCTTTTCTTCTCGGCGTCCTACTACCTGATGCGGCGATGGAGGGAAAAGATCCGGACCTCGACTCCATTGTACATGCTGACGCTGGAGGAGCAGCTAGCGGTGATCACCCAGATCGCCTCCTTCATCTATCTCATCGGCTTCTTCGGCATTGAGTATGTCCAGAGCGTCATCAACAAGAACGCTGATGAGGACGAGCGGCCCGCCGCCCAGCACGAGATCGCCAGCAAGAGACCGCCCGCGGAGCTCCTGGGGAAGCCACTGCCGGACAACAACGACGAGGATCTGGCACAGGCAGTGAGCTCCGGGAGGGTCGCGTCCTACTCGCTGGAGACCGAGCTGGGTGATGAGCTGAGGGCCGCGTCGGTGAGGAAGAGGGCGATCGAGCTCAGCACTGGGCGGTCTCTGGAGGAGCTGCCTTTGCACGGGATGGACTACAAGAGCATTGTGGGACAATGCTGCGAGATGGTGGTGGGCTACGTCCAGATCCCTGTGGGTGTGGCCGGTCCCTTGCTGCTGGATGGTTTGGAGTACACTGTGCCGATGGCTACCACGGAGGGATGCTTGGTGGCGAGCACCAACCGTGGTTGCAAGGCGATTCATCAGTCCGGCGGTGCCGTGAGCGAGATTTTGAAAGACGGGATCACTCGGGCTCCCGTCGTGAGCTTCTCGTCTCTCAAAGGTGCTGCCGAGCTCAAGTTTTACCTCGAGGATACTAACAACTTCGACACCATTTCGACCGTTTTTAACAGGTGAGTTGAATGGTAGAATGGTTTTGGAGCATTCCTGTAGTCCTGCTGCTGAGCTGATGGCTATTCTTTTTTGATCGCAGGACGAGTAGATTCGCCAGGTTGCAAAGTGTTAAATGCTTGCTGGCTGGTCGAAACGCATACATTAGATTCTGTTGCTCCACTGGTGACGCAATGGGGATGAACATGATCTCCAAGGGGGTCCAAAACGTTTTGGACTATCTTCACGATGTATTCCCCGACATGTGTGTTATCAGCGTCTCTGGTAAATTTCCTTGAAGATGTCTTGTCCCTTGGTCTGAGTTGCAAACTTGTCTTCCCAGGGAACTTATGCGCTGACAAGAAGGCAACATCAGTGAACTGGATCGAGGGGCGAGGGAAATCCGTCGTCTGCGAAGCGGTGATAAAGGGCGACGTGGTCTCCAAGGTCTTGAAGACATCGGTGTCCGCCCTGGTGGAGCTCAACACGCTCAAGAACTTGGTCGGATCGGCTCTCGCGGGTGCCGTTGGTGGATTCAACGCTCACGCCTCCAACATCGTCTCGGCCGTGTTCATCGCCACCGGCCAGGATCCGGCACAGAACGTCGAGAGCTCGCAGTGCTTGACACTCATGGAGGCAACCAACTGTGGCAAGGATCTCTACGTGTCGGTGACAATGCCATCGGTGGAGGTACGCTGAAGTTTCAAAAGTTTTCCTGTTTGTTTATCTCTCTGCTGGTGCTTTGGTCTAACCAAGCTTTTTCTTTCTCTTGCTTTTTGCTTGCACAGGTTGGAACGATCGGTGGTGGCACGCAGCTCGCGTCGCAGAGCGCTTGTCTCAATCTGCTTGGAATCAAAGGCTCCAATCCCGACTCGCCGGGATTGAATGCGCAGACACTCGCCAGAGTTGTGGCTGGCGCTGTGCTCGCTGGTGAATTGTCGCTCATGTCTGCCTTGGCAGCCGGGCAGCTGGTCAAGAGCCACATGAAGTACAATCGATCCAGCAAGAACATCGCTGCCGCTGGCGAGCAGCAGCAGCAGAGCTTGGACGGATTGAGGCAGCGATGTTCGTCGTCGTGAAGTAAATACAGTTCTCTTGCCTCGAAGAACAAAATAAAAACCAGAGAGAATTTTTTTTTTAAAAAAAAAAGCCATGGTTTTTGTTTGGTAGTATTATATAATATCTCGCCTAGATTTCGTGTAATATATTAAAACTACTGTTTGGAGTTTTCGTGCTTATTTGGAATTTGGTTTGCGTTCGTTTAGCGTTCAAAGATGAGCCTCGTTGAGGTAAGCAAAGACTTTGAATGGCAATTAAAGAATAATTTTGCGGCTGGCAACGCATAGTTGTATTCCAGAACACTTCTACTTATTGGTTCTTTCAACAGAGTTGCCATGGTTGTATTCTAGAACACTTCTACTTATTAGTTCTCTCAAGAGCTCCAAGAGAGAAGAAAAAATGGAGAGAGGCTTGAATTTTTCTGAGAAGTATAGAGAGAATGACCGGTTTGTGGTCTATCGCACTATCCCTGCTGAATTTAAGAGTTTAGTCCAAGAATTGACTGGCATGAACAGCACAGCTTCTTCCAAAAATCCTGGAAGGGCAAATGTGATGGGAGCGACAAACTGTCAGGATAAATCTGAAAAGTTAATAGTAGAAGATGGATATAGTCTTGGAAGTATAGTCACAAAAGCTATACAATAATGCAATATCAAGCACAAATGTCCTTTTGATCATTTTAGATAATAATATAGATCTTTATCTATTTAGAAACAAATATCTTAACCTTGCAAGAGAGGCAATGTATGAATAAAAATATATTAATTTGAACATTGAAAGAAGTACAAAGATTTATGGCTAAGAATAATGATATAAAGAAAAATATAAATAATAACATAATTTTAGTTTTATTTATAATTTTTGGTTTGCTTAGGGATGGTAATGGATATACCTAGAATATTCTTGGATATTCTAGAATATTCTACTATCTAACGGTTGTTATTCATTTAGATTAATCTTGTATTTATAAATTATAAACTTTTTAAAACACTTTCTAGTATATTCATTAATCAACTTGTTACAAAAAGTTTATTTGTAATATAGTAATTATATTCCTTTAATAATTACCTCCTGTATAAATGCAATGCATTGCTTTGGTCCTTTTGATATTGATCTTTATGCTACAAAAGTATAAACCATGATAGATTAATTAAATAATCAAAATTAAATCAGGGCATTGCCTGAAGTATTTGTGCAAATCAAAGTTACATTGCTCCTTTCTGCTATAAATTTGATAGCTACAACAGTCCTACAAAAATATTGCATATGCAAATTATTCACTCCACTTGGACATATGACAGTCAATTTATTGCCTAGCATATTTAAACAAATCTCCTTTGCCAAATCCGCTTTACAATATGCTCAACCAGCTCTTTACTGGAAATGGGACAACATCTATAAGTATTGCATTTGGTATGCAACGCTCCTGTGCAGAAGGTTGAGCAATTCGAACTTTGCAAGTGCTAAGACTGCCAAAACAATCAAAATCAGTTAAAAACTCACCTTAACAGCAGCCATGAAAGTTTGATCCTTTTGAAGATTTTGAAGATGCACCGACACCCTCACAAAAGCAGAACTACGTGGTCCCAGATAGTGCTCTAAAGAGAAACAAACAACAAATATCAGAATCGAGAGCCACATAGAAACAGCTCACATAAAAAGATGCGCATGGATGCGTGGGTAGCCCAAATACAGGACTGATGTTTCCCACAGAGGTCCTTATTTTCCTTGTTCACCAACACGAAATGAGCACAAGAAAACCACTCAAAAGCATGATACCTATCAAGTCGACATTTGCAGTTCCAACAGCTTGGGTAGAACTTGGACCAACTTGGTGCATGGTGTCGTTGAGACCAATCTGTAAGGGAGTTAAATTAGTCATTACAGAAAACAATGAGATTTACTTGGACAAACCTCCAGAAGGCTGTAGTGACAATTAACACTAGAATATAAAAAAACTCAAGTCCCTAGGTAACAATAATTTTAATGTACTTATTCATCTTTGTGTTTGTGGAATTCCCTTCCACATTTTTAGTGCACTGCCTGGGAACAAAGAGGAACTAAGTTCTACATTATCTCCATTGTGCCCCCAAAATCTACTATATCACATTCAACAGCATGGACACCAAGCATGTCCCAGAGATCATTGTCAAAGATTGTGGTAGCAAAGACTTTGGCGAAAAGCTTGCTGCTATCAAGTCACGTAAAGAATCTTGGACAAAGAAGAGCCCGACCTTCCTGTTGACCCCAATGCCCTGGAGGTCCACCACCACGCACTTTCTAAACCCCACCGCGTCCACAGCATCCAGCTCCTTGACGGGATCCTCTCCGTTGTCAGAAAACGCCTTGATCAACTTCCTGACCGAAAATGCCATCAGCATGCCCCTGTAGTCCTCGTAGCTGACAATCCACTCGAGCGCATTGTACTTCAATGCCTTGGTAGGCACTGTGAGAAGGATGTTGCCAGTTGAAACCTGGTTCCGCCAGATCGTAGTATCCTTGTAATTCTCAGAAATACTTTGAGAAACCTCGTCTTGCACATGTTTGTCGATTACAAACGCAGGAGGCATGGGAATCAGGCCGAGCTTAAATTAAGAGACGCACCTGACGGCTTCGATACTCCTGATCTGGCATGCCTTCAGCGGCTCCATCGAGGGCGCCATCTCTGGGTCATAAAAGTAGGAAGGCAAGCTCCAGGTGCGCGGGATCTTCATGCTGGCGACGCAGGTCGGGGCAGTCTCAGTGAGCGTCTCGAATGTACTCGTTGAGCAATTCTAGGGGGCAGCCGCGCGCAGTGAACTCATTGTCGTAGCAGATATCGGAGAAGAGAAACAGGGAGGTGTCGTAGACGAGCTGGAGAGGAGGAGCAGGAGCTCGTGTGCATGCGCAAGCGGATCGACCAATAGCTGCAATAGCCTGATGTCAGCCGGGCTCTCGTGTATCCTGTACTGTGACTCACCTGGACACAGTCGCCGCCACAACCAAGGGTTTAGGTAAGTTCAGACACGTAAAAGGAAGAATTCAGAATGGTGGTGCATAAGTACCACTTTCACAAGATGCATGGTTGCATTGGACACTTCCTCCTCAATTCCACTAACCAGGGGTGACGCGCTAGAGCTCATGGTAATCGTGGTGATCACCACTACTTTTCCTGCACTGCACTTTCTGGTGGGAGTGAGTTCTCCGAGTAAAGTAGGCTTTGGTTTCTTCCTTTGGGAGAAACGTCTTTGAATTATGAAGGGATCCACACGCTCAGATCCCTCTTGGCACTCTCGTGTCTTCCACTCCAGGCCGCGGGTGAAAATGCACCTGTCTTTCACGTTGAAACCGCATAATCACCTTCTCATCTCGCTCATTCTCTCACGACAATCAACAAAGCTCGAGGACCACTTGTAAGAATGACCGCAAAGTTCTTATACCTAAACTTGGACGGCATGGTGGTGTGGCGGCGACTGTGTCCAGATGAGTGACGGTAAATTACGGCTGAGAGCTGCAGCTATTGTCGATCCGCTCGCACATGCAGCACACTTGCACGAACCCCTGCTCCTCCTCTCCAGCTCGTCTACGACAACACGACCTCCCTGCTTCTCTTCTCCGATCTATGCTACGGCAGTGAGTTCATGGCTCGAGAATCGCTCAACCAGTACATGACCAGCGCTTACTTCGACATCTGCCCCGACCTGCGTCGCCGGCACGCAGATGCCGCCTACTGGCCGACGCCCTGGAGCCTGCCTGCCTGCCTGCTTTTATCTATTCCCACGGACTCTCCCTGCCTCGTCCCCAATAAGTGCTTTCATTGAGATGCCACCCTCGATGGAGCCCCTGAAGGCATGCCAGATCAGGAGCATCGAAACTGTCGAGTGCATCTCATCGTTCGAGCTCGGCCTGATTTCCATTCCTCTTGTGTTTGTAATCGACAAAAGCGTGCAAGATGAGGTTTCTATTTCCGAGGAATATGAGTATACTACGATCTGGCAGAACCGGGTTTCAACCAGCAACATCCTTCTCGCGGCGCCAACCAAGGCTTTCCAAGTACAACGCACTTGAGTGGATTCTCAAGGATTACCAAGGCATGCCAATGGTATTATCGGTCAGGAAGTTCATCAAGGGGTGTTGATGGAATGGGAAAAGGTACTGTTGAATGCTTGTTGTATATAGTCATGGTTGGTCCCGACCGTTCCGAACGCCGACCGGCCGACCGCCCGACCGTGGTTATCGACCGGCTGTGAAAATGCCGAACGGCCGAACGGTTCACAAAAATTTTTTGATAAAAAAAAAAACATTTTTAGTAAAACCATATTAATAAAAGTAGAAAAACCAAAGTATTAAACCAAACCAAACCAAACCAAACCAAACCAAAGCATTAAACCAAACCAAACCAACTACTACTCATCTTCTTCAACATCTTCGGCAAGTTCCTCAACATCTCCGGCATCTTCCTCAACAATCACATCTTCATTTGGAAGATCTTCTTCGGCTAAATCTTCTATACCAAGAGATTCAAGCCTAGCTTGCATCTCTACAATCCTCATCCATTGTGGTTCGATTGCAATTGTGTCGAGATCAATCTCTAGGAACTTCATTCCTTCACTTTCAATACGATCCACCACTCTGGTGTTACTGTGTACATAAACTAACTTCTTCAAGTTCTCCGGAAGCAAGCGATTGCGTCGTTTGGTTTGGATCAAGTTCCAACTACTCCAATTTCGCTCAATTTCGCTCAAAATAGGAGCTACCATAACCAATAAAGTAGAAGCGTTCTTCCAAAATTCATCATTGAAAATTGTTGTACAAACATCTTTGGCATCCTTTGTGTTATACCACTTTGACGATTCAAATTCTGCACTCACTATGAATCGTCGAAGGCATGGGAAAACATCTTCATGCTGGAGCTGGCTGACCATAAGAAAGATGTAAGCAAATCGAGTCTTCGCAGGCTTCATGAGTTCTCTAGAGCAGAATTTTCGAAATAAAGCAAGTAACATTGGCTTCTCAGTTATGAACTTCACGATCTTCTCACAGTCATTTACGATCTTAGACACCCAATCAAACTTCCCAATATCCTCCAATAACAAGTCCAAAACATGGCACACGCATCGATTGTGTAAGATAAAGGGGAATTCTTCTCTCATATGTTCCCCCATCGATACACAATTCGAAGCATTGTCAGTGATGACTTGAACAACATTTTCAACACCAACATCTAAAATGATGGGTCTAAGTTGCTCCCAAAGCCAAAGACCAGTCTTCTCTTCTCCTTTGGTGTCAACACCCTGCCAAAATACTGAGCCATGGATAGAGGTAATCATGAAATTTATGAATGATCTGCTCTTTATATCAGACCATCCATCAGTCACTATTGTACATCCAAACCGAGCCCATCCATCACGAAAAGGGGCTAACTTCTCCTTGATTAGAGTATAGTGACGAGTGAGCTGAGTAGTACGAAGCTTTTTGTAACCAAGAATCCTCGATGTAGCACTAGGTCCAGCACTACAAGCGGCTGCGATCATCGCATGAAAATATGGGCTTTTCACAACATTAAATGGTATAGCATTCAAGAAAATGAACTTTGATATCGCATCATCTAAGTTCATGTTTCTTGCATCATCAAACATTTCCCCAATATTGCCATCTCGCATTCGCTTTCGACCAATAGATGATCCCTCATGGCCTATAGAAGCACTCATAGGCTGAGATTGACTAGCACTTTGTGTACCAGCTCCAGAAGCAGATGCCCCATCAAAATGCCTATTCTGTAGATTTGCTGTAGAAGGTAAAGACAAAGGGGCATTTGCGATTTGCTCCACAAACATTCGGCGAGCTTGGTTCTGAACATGAAGAGGAACATTTGAAGCACTACATGCTTCAATATCATGCCCAGAAACTTTAGCAAGATGCGCCTTGATTCGTTTCGGCGGACCGCCATACATTTTACCACAATAATTACATTTCCAACGCCCAGCTCCTTTGCCGGAAGCATAAGGAGTGAGCTTGGTAACATGGGACCATGCCCAATCGGGCGCCATCACTCAATTGTGCCAGAATTGCTATGAATCTCTAGAATCAAATCTCTGAAATCACTGGAATTTCCAATTTAGGGCAAAAATTTCAAGCGTTGCGGACTGCGCGATTTGATTTGCGAGGCAGCGAGCTGCTCTGCTCCACACTCAATCGAAAGCAGAGGCAGTGGTGATGGCAATCGAAAGCAGAGGCAGTGGTGGTGATGGCGATAGCCGCTGGAGCATCAGAAATCTAGCGCAATCACAATTTTTTTTTTTCACATTTTTTTTTTTGCCGAACAGAATACCGAACGGAGCTGTCCGACCGCGTTCGGCCGACCGCGTTCGGCGGCGGTCGGAATTATGGCCGAACGCGTTCGGGACCAACCATGTATATAGTCTTATATACTCGTTCATCTCCTTTAATCTCTTCTAGATTCCTGCTGCAGATTCCTATGTCCTTGACACCTTGATTTCTGCTCTAACACTCCCCCTTGATCTGATCCATCCTAGAGATCAGATCGTATCACTTACTCCCCCTGGGTTGGTACGGCCCTAGCTTGTGGTGAACTGCTGTGTCTAGAGTTGCCTTTGTAAGCAGCTCGCACTCTAGGCATGGAGCATTGGAACCAGTAGTGGCTCATCTTGGAGTTCCAGCAGCTCTTTCTCATCGATCCTGAGCTCCACACTCACACTCGTGATTGCACAGCATGTACTGGTATGCGATCATGTTGTCATTGGACTCCTCAGCTCCGGTAAGTATCAAGGAATAAGCTTTTCATGCTTGACCTGAAGAGGAACCTGACAAATCGCCCTTCTCCTCAAATTCGTGCTCCATGCGCTCCCATGGGCATCGCCGCCATGATCACAATCCCATCAGTAGCAAGTGTTGAGATCTTCCTGAGAAAGTCTTTATTCTTTCCATGATGTGACTGGCGATCAACTGTGTTGTCATTCAGGGTTGTTCGCAGTTCAAAACGTAGAGTGTTTCTTTAGCTGCCCTCCATAGCAGCATTGCATGCTACACCATAAAATCATTGCATTAGTGAATTAAAATAATATACCTGGTTGTAGATTGTTTATTGTTTATTGTCAAAGTTCAAAATCCTAGCTCGTGGACGGTAGCTATGTTGGCCCGGATAGTCTCCCTCACCTCCGCATCCTCCATGAAAGTGTCAACGAACATGGTGATCCCTGGAGAGAGCTCTGGCATTCCATCTGGGCAACAAGCTCTCGAGCTCCACACTCCTCAGCACACAGCTCTTGCATCAGCTTGCCACTGCTGTCCTGGATCGAGTTGCTCTCCAAGAAGAACCTCGTGGTGTCCTTGTCTGAGTGCCAGAAGGAGCACTCGTTCAAATATATGACTTGAGAAACACGTTCTGGTAAAGCATCTTTTTTTTCTCCCCCTCAGAATGTAGTTTAAGATCAATGAGAAGAAACACTTGCACTCCTTAAGAAGTTTTCAATATATTTGTGTTGTGAACACGTAGAGCCCATGTGACATTAGGAGATATTACAAACTTAAAAACTGCTTATCGGGATTTGTCATTTTCTCGCTAGACCTGTAGAGTATTTGGGAAGACTGAATACCAGATTAGTCTATTACCATGTAAAATTGTACTTTCCCTAAGTGAATTCACTATCTCCTTGGAGGCTCCAAGAGTGCTATGGAATTGTATTTTCCTCTAAGAGTGGCAAATCTACTTAGTACTAATATAATAGTATCCTGTAACCTGCCCACTTTGGTTTAGTCCCAGAAATAAGAAATACCTTGGTCTTGCATGTAAGTATAAAAGAGTAAGTGTTGTACCTGTCCGTAAATGTTAAAATTGCTACCTCCTAGATTTTAGCATTGCACGAGATGCATCTTATCATCTTCTTCTCCTTCCTACCATGCTTGTATGGTGTAAAAATTTGGAAGGAGATTCCAATGTGAGGCCAGAATTGTATGAAATTCTGCCAAGAGACTCCATCTTTCATCTTCACAATTTCATCTTGACCATGATCATTGGTGCAGAAATCTGGAGGGAGATTCAATGTGTGGCCAGGGTTGTATGAAATTCTGCTGAGAGACAACATCTTCATCTCCAACTCCAAGACCTATTGTCAACTAGAACTCTTTGAAATTCTTCAAGAAAGAAATGAAAGAGTGGGTCTGATCACAATGGATCAAGTTACAGTCCGCTCTGTTTAAGAAAACAAATATTGGAGTGACAGTTGAAGTTGGCTCCATAAATCATCTCCAAACATTGAAACCAAACTTGAATAATATTGAGATACCTTAGTTTTCCAGAAAGCCTTCATTGTAGCTGTATATCTGATCCTTTGGCCTTCCACAAGTAGTTGACAATGCCAAGCTGTAAGTTCAAACTATGCGAATAAAAAGATAGGAAAAAGAACCCATGCCCTCAACCATCATCAAGACAATCTCTGTGACAATGGGTGAAGGAGACTTTGTTGTGCTGCAGCAAGACCTCAGTAACATCCACTGGTGGTGTATCTCACAATCGCATGGCAAACTCGCCATTTTCGTCAATATCTGCACCTCTGCAAGGCGAGACAGACTCTCGGGACTAAGATATATCCCCACACCATGGGTCCAAAACCATGCTTGATGACATCGTTTCGAGAACACCCGTACCAAGCCTGCTGCAAATTTGCATCCCCGCCTCACACCTTGGTCGTGAGATCGCTGAGCATCTCAAATGCTTCTCGGCGAGCCTGACTGCCAGGACAGTCATAAAGAACTTTTTACACCAAAGTAACAGGCCACCGCCGAGAGTCACCCTAGCCCCGCTAGAAACGCTGCTTTGACGTCGACGAGTTTTGGATCGCCAGCCTTGAGCTTCGCGAGCCTGCCACCGCTGGAACCCACAAGATTGGAGAGCTTGTTGCGGCTAGAAGTCACGTCTTCCACTTCACCACCCTCATGGAACAAGCCCCGGCCGTGTCGATGGTAAAGCTCGAGCTTCCTTGCAGTGCACTCAAGGAAGCCTTTCCACCGCCAAGGAGCTTCTCCACATCGTCGAGCAATCCAGGGCCCTCAATGGCTGGATCGGGCTAAAAAAACTCTCCAGCAACCGATTGAGTTCCTGTATCCAGTCCCGGTGTATGCACAAAGAACACTGCCAGATGACAGCTCGCAAAGAAAGTCTCCGCGATTTCCCTGCGCAGTAGGTCTCGCACAGAGCAGCACTAATTTCCACGGGGAAATCCTTCTGAATCCCTGCTGTGTATGAAATCTGCTGGTTGCTAAGTGGACTCCTTCATGGCCCTCTAGGGACACTATCGCCTGGACTCCGGGTATGTCCACTGCAAGGCTGCTTTTGCTGCGATAGTCACCTTCGGATGCCTGTTAGTGCCCATCATATCACTGCCACCGTTGCTAAGTGTCAATCTCGACGGTGCCTCCAGAACAAGATCAACTTGATCGGACCCGCTTGCTCCACCAAATTCTGTTCAGCCTTATCCTGAACATGCCTCATGTTCAAGCTCTTGACTGCTGAGCATCGGACTTGCATGCAAATCCAGTCAAGATTGGAAACACTGCTTGCCTGACCCTATCACTGTTCCATGCAGCTTGCTGCCGCATATCAAAAAACCTCTACAGAGATAGAGTGCGGGGGGCTGCCAACGCAGTAGGGATCAGAAAGTGCGTGGTGGTGGACCTCTGGGGCATTGGCAATAACAGGAAACTCGGAATATTCCTTGTCCAAGAGGCTCTAGGTGACGTGATGAGCCACATTGCTAAAGTCCCTGTACCGCAATCTTTGATGATGATCTCTGGGGATAGTCGCCAAGGATCCAGCTCCTTGACAGGATCCTCTCCGTTGGCGGCACACCTGTTGGAGCAGGAATCAAGGTGTCAAGGACACAGGAATCTGCAGCAAAAATCTAGGAGAGATTAAAGGAGATGAACTAGTATATAAGACTGTATACAACAAGCATTCAACAGTAGCTTTTCCCGTTCCATCATGGTATCAGAGACTATTCTGTTCAGCTCTATTCGGGCAGTGGGCTTGATCCAGTTCACTCGAGCAACGTAATGCAGATCATGAGAGCCATCACAGGTGAAGCTCTGCCTCAGTAGGGCTTCTTCGTATTCTTACTGCTGAATGCGATGTAGTAGATTTTGGAGGGGCAATGGAGATAATGCTGCTGAAGCCAGAATCTAGTCCCTAGGTAAGTTGATCTTTGTTGTAATGACTTTTATCCGCAAGAAAGTTCAAATTGAACAAACATTGTTTAGGTAAATTCATTTCGGCAGAAGTCAGAATTTTTTTTGAGCTGGTGAGTGTTTTTTTTTATTGTTAGTTTTGCACGGGACAGCGATCTCAAGTTGATGTTGTCGAGAAGAACTTGAGAAGAACAAATCCTTTGAAAGCGGAGGCGCACACGCACAGAAGGTGAGAACTCTATATCACTGATTATGAATGGGTAGATGGACATGGGTCATCTCATCACAATCAAGTGCCTGATCCACACATGGAATCTTAGCTTGAATCATGCATAGCATTGAGATGATGGAATTTGGGGAGCTGATGAGAAAAACATATAAAAATCAACTACCCCTAGGTCTTTGCTCTTTACTTTTCTATAGCCTCAATCCTGCCTCTAGCATGGGTCTTCGCTAGAAGCGGCTCAAGGAACGGCTCAGTTACTTTGCTATAGCCTCAATCTTGGTGCCTCATTGGCTTCAGTTATCTGTGAGGCAAATATAGCATTTTTGATTGGCATGATAAAACACCATTGAAGTTTATGCCATGAAAATAAGAGAAACCGAAAGAATTACGCCTACCAACACTTTTGTATCCAGCGACAGTCTTTTGGTACGTCTTGCAAAGCGGTGTCTCTTTGGTTTCTCGCCAGTCCTTGCGCGCCAGCACAAAACTAAGAAAACTTACTCAAGAATGAAAGTTAAAAAGCAAAATTCTCCGGACCTCTAAACGAGGGTGCACAAGATTGTTTCGCAATTAATCCAAACTTTGGATCCAAACCATAACCATCAGCCCACACCCAATTCTCGCAATAGCCTCGGATTGGAACACCCTGTAGATCGAGTCACAGCGAAAACTTCGAAGCTTGCCTTGTTCATGGGTAGGGGCCTACGAACCAAATCTGTGCAATCCGAGACTTCTTGTCTTCCAGTTCCATATGCGGTCCTAGCTCGCCCGAGACACTTGTCGCTGTGCCCAAGCGATTCATCGCCTCTGCGTTCATGTTAGTGCCCCAGAAATGCTCGCAGATCATCCGTACCTCTAGTTAGGACCGCTGCCTAGCTTGAGTCGATTGCCCAGAAAATGTGTGTACCCACATTTCTCCAAGATTTTACTAATGTTGTTTTTGTTATTTTTTATTTGCTCAAGCAAGACTTATAGAGAATATACCTAGATTGCATATTCAAGAATATTTTATTATCTATTGGTTATTATTCATTTAGATTAATTTTGTATATATAAATTATAAACATATTTATAATTTATAAACTTTCCTAAACATTTTCTAGTATATTCTTGTTTATTCTACCATTTAGCAATAAGATTAATCTTGATTTATAAATCATAAAAATATTTATAATTCTTAATAAATTAGATTATTCAAAAATACTACTTTTAAGAAAACTAAGTACATGGCCAGCAAATTATTTAATTTAACAACTTATTGTTATTATTATACACAATACTTAAGATATTTAACTTATATTGAACATATAGCTACCATTCTGCAAAGTGCTATTGGTACCAATACCTAGTCACTGGGACATACAATAGTTAAACCATAGACTAGATGGTAGAGGGCCAAAAATGTCCTCTATTCTGGCAAAAATATATGGAAAAATAATACATTTTAAATAAAGTTACTTTGATACATTTTACTTAAAGTTACTTTGTCAGGAAAAGGGATGCTAATGCCAGAAGCAATGTCGACCACAACTTGGACACTTCAAGAAGTTAGTGAATGATGCGACATGAATTTTGCAAGAGTTACATGCAAAACTTATTACCATTTGCATCAAAATTAGTTCAACTTCTATGCAAACAACTTATCACTACTGGGAGGATTTTTCTCTATACATAAATCAAATATAAGAAAGAAAGCCACATTGAAGCAGCTAAGCACATCAAAGTGTGACTGCTCCACAAAAAGAACTTGTTTGCAGAACAAGGGTCCTTGCCACAAAGATTCAAGATGAAACCCAAGCAAGTTGGATCATTGCAGCGCAAATGAATCATACCATAGGTTTAAAGAATTGTAAAAAGCACAATTTCCTTCTGAATTAGAATAGTGTCACTGGGACCAGCAATATGTAAGAGAGTTAAATTAGATGTACACTTGAAACTAACTCAACCTGAATATATAGAGAATATATGTCTTTGAGTATTTGCTTCACTTGCTTCAAGATCCATAACTACCGTTGTCCTTCGATACACATAGAAGATTGACTCAGCTGTCATAGAAACAATAAGACTTACCACTTGAGAATGTGGTTTTGGCTTGAGGAGCATGATCTCCATTGCAACTACACCACACTTGGCATCTTAGACACTAAGCTTGCCCCAGAGATCATCATCAAAGATTGTGGTAGCAAGAATTTTGGTGAAAAGCTTGTTGTCCATCAAGTTATATAGAGCATCTTTAACTCCTTAGGTTGTTCCAACATTTATTAAAGGTAGCCTCAGTTACCATTTCAAGGACATATGTCTTCATTTGTATTTGACCTCCCACGATCATTAACTTTAATTTTAAATTCATGAGTACAATCCTCAACTATATGAAAATAATTTTACAACTTCTTTATTGTTTTGAAGTTTCTATTATTTTTATGATCCAAACTATAGTTGTTTACCATAACTATATTAACCAATTTGCTAAGTCAAATATTTATATGAATTATTTCCTCAACTCTTTGAAGAAAACTTTCTACTATTTCTAAGATCCCAAAGTCACTCCATTAATGATCCCTTTTCCCATATCATTTATAAGTTCACATATGAACTACAATATAGAGTTATGCCCTCTCAACATGCAACTCCTTGAGTATAGCCCCACTCCTGGGACCATCACATGTCAACATAAAATAATGATATACCTGGCCACCAATAAAAGTCAAATTAAGGAATAACTCTAATACAAAATTATAAGTGATTAATTTTTCCATTCTACTTTAATCACTTAACCATACCTTTGATCACTTGAAAGAGTCTCATACACAACTTTCATAAGTCTTATTCCTGACTTAAGGAGTTGTTAGCCCTATAAATGTCCTTTATGCCACTCTGCCTTTGCATTTGGTTCAAATGCTCCATGTATTTAATTCCACAATAGATACCCAAATATACCACTGATATATCAGCCTTTTACACTAAGGTTATGTCCATTCATCTTTATCATATTGGTAGCTCAAAACCACCCGACCACAATCCTATCTCCCAAAGACTGGGTCATCCATCCATGAGTGGTCATCTGATGACCACATTTTAGCATTCTTGGGATGCCCAGAGATATAAGGAACACTTATCCTTAATTTTCATTTTTTGGTCCCTACCAAGTCCCTCTCCATCCATTGTTGTGCTCACCAACACCATCATTGGGTCATGGCTTGAAGGCTCAACCACCAAGTCTTATTGACCTTTATGACTTCTGTGGTATAATGCAAGCTTCATGGGTACTCTTCCAACCATATGGTAAGAGCAAGGTTTTTAAAAAAATGTTGGAGAAGGGTTCATCTATTAAATGATATGAAGATTTCTCCATGTCGAGAATCAAGAATACTCCCCCCATCTTTTGCCTTTGGGTGCTCTAGCCAAATGGCTAGAGCAAGATTCTAATTAGCCATGCCAAGTATTCAAGTAAATAGTGCCTTCTACATTTAGATTGAGAATATCAACCATTCAATCTCCTAAGGGAGCTAGAATTGACTCTTGAATATTTCACCAAGTTACTTCACTTGTCCATCCATGTTCACTCTAGCCTTGGAATCTTTAATAGTTATATCATCACCCATTATATGGGGTTAGCCTTTCTGAGTCACACTAGTCTTTCTTAACTAACTAATTCCAATGAAGTTTAACTCTCTCTACTATACTTTTTGAACCCCTCACTTGGGCACATTGTTAGTAAATTGCTTCAAAGTCATGGTTTATGGTTAATATGCTTAATATAAGAACTTAACACATCTAATTTAAATACTTTGTCTAAGATAATTCAATTGCCATGGACACTTTTGCCTAGGAAAGGGCTACATACTCAAAAGTTGAAGAAACTTAATACTTATTGATGACCATGTTAAGGTACATGGACTAGCAAAGCCATGAGCTTGAGGGGACATGCTTGCCTAATGCTCAAATTTTCATAGCTACATTCAAGAAAAGTTATAGCCTTGGAGAACGGAATAGCTCTTCTTTGGACATGAGGCTGGACTCCAAAGTGTTCATGGCAAGCTCTTTGATAGATCTGTACATGAAGTGTGGCACTATGGATGGAAAGTTTTCAGAGAGGACACCAGGGCGGGATATGGTTTTATGGATGGCACTTCTGCTTGTCTACGTCTCAAATGGTGAAGAAGAGGGAGCTCTAGAGCTCGTCAAGTTTGTGGAGGTGGATGATGATGTGATCGGTCGACCATTCCCTTGGGACTCAATCTCTGTGCGTGCTTGGGATCCAGAGGAAAATGGAGAGAGGCATGGCGTTCCACTTTCAAGCTTACCATGCCGGCTGGAATGACTACGAGGTGGCTCGCGGCCTTGTGATGTACGTGAAGTGTGGGAGCATGGGGGATGCTCGCCGAGAGAGATGATGTCACAGCATGGAACTCGATGGTCTTGGGCTATGCCGAGAACAAGCAAGCAGCGCTGTGCTTGGAGCTCTTTCGAGAGATTCCTCCTCAAGTTTTGGACGCTCACAGATTGGCTGCTGCTCTCGAGGCTTGTGGAAGCCTGGCGTCTCTGGAACCGGGCAAAGCCACTCATGCTCTAGCTTGCCGCTTGGGGATGGAAGAATCTCTCATCGTTGGGACTAGTTTGGTTGACTTCTATGGCAAGTGTGGAAGCATGGTGGACGCTCGACTGGTTTTTGATGGGATCTTTCCCAAGAAGCTAGCGGCCTGGACAGCTTTCATGGAAGGCTATGGCCGTCAAGGAAGCTCCAAGCTTGTGACGGAGCTTCTTTGTGGAATGGAAGAGGAGGGCTTTCGACCGGACGCTAAAACTCTGGCTAGCGTTATCAGCAAATGTGATTCCTTCCCAGATTATTCCTGGTGGAACCAATGAATTAAATGCCGCAGTAGACATGGTTAGCTCGATGGAAAGTGTTAGCAACGCTATGTTGGTGAGAATTATCCTAGATAGAAGGTGGAAGAATCTTCAGGTGGCATTCAAGCGTTTGATGGATTTGGATGAGTTTGATTCAGTGGGTTATGTACTATTTGCATCGAGCTATGATTAAGTGCAAATAATTCACTTAGTTATTCTTTCTTCGTAAGAACGTGTCTTGCTCTGAATGGAGCGAGCGGCAAAGGTTAGAGCTCCAAGACCAATGGTGATAGCAATGGGGCCTCCGTACTCCAATGCCAAAGTCTGCCACATTCACGCAAGAATCGAGCATGGAGTAGCCAGCGAGTAGAGTGTGCTTCCGGCGATGTTGTAAAGAGCACGAACTGGGGCGAGCAGTGACTGGTATGCATATGGGAGGTATTCGCTTGCACCAAGAGCATTGAACAGAGAATCTAAGAACCATTCGCTGTGAACAGAGGCCACCACAAGAATGTCGTCCGAGAGTATCAAGGGGTTGTAGAGTCCCAGCTTGTCAACCTTTGAGATCTCTGCGTATATCAAGATTGTGTTATTACAGAACATTAGGATGTGTGGTTTTTTGTACCTGTGATTGGTGAGGCTCCAGAGATTGTGGACAGGCTATCTCCAACTTTGAGATCAGCAGCTCGCTTGTAAATTGTCTCTCCTTTCGTATTAACTGGGACAAAATGACTGGTTGTAAGCTCCAAGGTGTTGGCTTTGGTCTTGACTTGCACGAATTCAGAAACAACATCTAGATCCTTGTGACCAAATGCGTAGATATCCGAAAATGAGTTAATTCCAACAGCAACCTGTAGAAACTTATTAATCATATGAAGCAAAGTGGATTACTAGCTAGGATCTTGCCTTATCTCCAATCTTAAGTTCCTTCATGGTCTTCATTTCCCCACTGTACATATGAACCATTGCATCACCTAGATAGATATTGCATGTACTTAGCACGGTGTAATTTGTAAAGAATAACTTTATTACCTGGAAAGCAATCAGTGTTGTTTCTACATATTCCATTGTTACATGTGAATTCTGCGCTGAAATATCAGCACTAGTGTTGCATTTCACTATATTAATAGCAAACACGGTGGAAAACAATCCAAGAAGAGAGATCACAGCATACACAGCAGCTAGAGAAACTATTGCCTTTCAAGTATACTTAACGAAACACTAAGCTTATGAAGAATCATTGGCCATGCACTGCTTAAATAGGATGAACTTAAACGTAATTACATGTGATATGATTTTCTGGGGAAGAATATAAGTTACACCCTAAAAATTTATTTAAAACATAAATTATAGGTTTTTTTACTACGATAGAAATTATTTAACTCACAACATTTAGGAGAATTTTAGTCCTCAGAGAACTAACTGGCTAGCCCTTTTAGAAGCGAAATGCTTGACGAACTTCACTGGTTCCCTCTACCACCCCTGCCTCTGCCGCCCTTGTTAGTTTTCGGTGCTCGGACAACCCGGTTCCTCAGTGCTTCTGGGGACGAAGGAGACGCAGCACTCCGCTTTCTCTCCTTAGCTCTTTCCCGGGCCCTCTCGTTCAAGTTTATAGTGGTGCTTGTCACTGCTGGTGCTGGTGGTGTTCCTCCCGACAATCCTCCTGTTGGTGGTGTTGTTACTCCTCCTGTTACTGCTCCTGGGTTTGGTCTTTCAGCTTCAGCCATTCCGGCAGCCTCTCCTTGCTCGAAAGAAGTCTCGGCCGCCATCTCGGTGGAAGTCGTCTCCTGACCTGCGTCTTTGCCAAGCTCTTCCTGCTCTTTGACGTCTTCCATCTCAAACTCTCCTTCTGTTCCAGCCTCCTCCACAGTTCCAAGTGAAATCTCGCCGTCTTCCACGTCTAGACTCATCCCGTTGTCGTTCTCGTTACCCGTCGCTTCTCCTGCCTCTGTTGTCTCCTTTTGCTCCGGTTCCACGTCCACTTGGAACTCGAACATTACAGGCGACTTCGGCTCAGAGATCTCAATGACTGGCTCGTCCGCTGTCCCGGAAGAACTTCCCTGCGCTAGCTGCAGCTCTGGCGACTTCTCCTTGAGCTTGCTGCCACTTCCATCAAAGTCATCTAGCAAAGACTCCGGACGAGAGAAACGGACCCGCCTCTGAGGAGCGGCAATGTCTGCGGCAAGATCAGCGCCCTCCAGCGACGGTAACTCCTGCTGCTCTTCATCAAGTTCCTGGAGCTTTGGTTCCTCCACTGCAGTCGTAGTAGCAGCGTCCACTTCTGGCTCTGTGGCTGGCTCGTCGTTCCTGGCCTTCTTTAAAGGTGGCAAGACTTCGTTTCTAGAGTCTTGCTGCTGTATGTTCTCGGTGTCCAAGCTCTCTGACGACGTTCTCTTGTGACCAGCAGGCACCGCAATCTCCATAGGTATTGCCACTAGTGCGTTCATGTCATTCTCCACCACCGCGTCAGGAACTCGAGCAGTCTCGCCCTCGGCCTCGGAAGTCCCTTCGCCAGCCGCGTCCAACGAGGATTCCACAGCTTCCGCTGCAGAGTCGGATTGGCTGGAAGTCTCCATCCTAGGCCGGATTATACGCCTCCCAGAGCGACGAGTTTGGGTTTGGAATTTCTGGAACACACAAACGCAATTGAGAATGCCTTCAACTTAAAAATAACGTGTACCTCTTTCTCGATGATACTTGCACGAAGCGCTTGCATTGCCCTCAACTTATCATCCAGAATAGGTGCTGATGGCGGCCGTTGTACAGCTCTTGGGAACGGAACCGACGGCCTCACTATGCTTAGATGCATGGGGACTGGAGGAGGAGTCGGAGTCGGAGTTGGAGCCGGAGCCGGAGCCGGAGCCGGAGCTGGAGCCGAAGCCGGAGCTAGCACAGCCGGAGGAGGCACGTTGGCAACTGGTGGTGTTGTAGAAGTTTCGTGCTCAGGGGCTGCGACAACTGGTGCTGGAGTAAGCTCGGCAGCCATATCATTCAGTTGTTCAACTGTCGCAGAAAAAGTTTTAGAGCTCGCCTCCGCGTTTATGATGGTGGTGCTAGTCTCAGCTCCTTGGATTTGCTGCAACTGTATCACGGCATTCACGAGACCTGGATAAGTAAGAAAAATTACCTGTCGTAGTTGCTCGTTTTCTTGTTTCACTGCCTGCAGGTCTTCGAGAAATCGTTGTTTTTCCTGAAAACCACTATGAGCGTTCAGCTGTGGAGAAGAGCAGCTTACCGTGGTTGCTTTTTGCAGCAGCTCCATCAAAGCCGTCCTGTCTTTATCGATTTTAGATTTCGATTTATCCCTTTCTTTCTCCAAGGTTTTCTCGAGCGTCTAGACAAGAAAAATGTTAAAACACAACAGTAGGAAAAGGAAAGTAACCCACTTGAATTCTTGAGTCTTTCTCGATCGCCTCTCGTTGAGCTAGCTCGTAACGTGCAACGTTTTCTCTTTGAGCTTGTTCTAACCGCAATGCAGACTCCTTTTGGCATGCCTCGAGCGCTTCTTGATGCACCGGCAACTTGCCGGACTTGAGTTCTTCAATTTCTTTTTGCATCACTTCTCTGTCCTTCTCATATTTCCGCTGTTTCATCAAGACTTGGGTCAAAGAAATCAGGCAAGGTGAGCCTCACCTTCGTTTGGGTCAAGATCTTCCTGTTTCTCTCGACTTCGGCTCTCAGAGACGCCTGAAGAAACATATCAGTTAACGCCAACCACATGACTTTCAAATCACTCACCTCTAATTTTACAGCATCTTGAAACCTTCGCTCTAATTCTGCTTGAGTCTCGGTTCTTAGAGCAAGCTCCTGTTCATACTTTGCGATGGTTTCGCGCCACATCGACGTCTCTGAGCCAATTCGTTCCTGCTTTTGACCATGTAAAGCCTGTTTGATGTAAAGTACGAAGTTATACCTGTGTCTGTACCAGCAAAGCCTTCACTCTTTCATAATCATCGACATCTAGAGACTTGTACTTCTCCAACATCTGTACCCCCACATCAATCGTAGTTTAAAAAACCGCAAGTACTAACCTGAGTACATCTTTGTTCCCAGCGACGAGTTTCGGCTTTTGAGACTTCCACTTCTTGTGCACGGGCGTGAAGTTCGAGTTGCAATTCCGTTACAGTTCTTTTAAGGGATTCATTCTCCTCTTCAAGTTTTTGAAACCTCCCTTGCAATTCCTGAAAATACAGAAGTAAAAAAGGAGCCTGCAACATTGATAGCTTTACCTTATTCTCATCAAGGACTCTCTTAATTTCCTCCTGAAGCTGCCCATTGTTGCCGCGCAAGATATTCGTCTCCATAACCTGTGAACTAAAGTTTAGTGTAGCAAGCGTAGCTTGAGCCAATACCTGTGCCTGAAGCGCCCGAAATTCCTCATCAGTATACACACTAGCACGAAGATTTTCATGATGTTGACGTAGTTTCGTTTGAGCTTCTTCCGCAGAACGGGATGCTGCCTCAAACTAAAATAAATAATAGTGAATTACCAAGAAGGAAAGTATGACAGCAATACCTGTTTACATAGACGGACTCGTTCTTGTTTAAGTAAAGAAATCTCCGTATCCGCCTGCAAAACAGATCACAATAAAATATATAGAAGTCACGACCGCGAACGCTTACCGCTTCTTTTGCTCTTCGCAAATACTGCACTACACGCTGCAGCTCGGGCTCCTCATGATTTTCGTCATCCACATCAGCACTCGTCGAGGCCCTGCGGTCCTTCTCGGCTGAGGTTATATGCTTCGCTTCCAAGCGATCCAAAAGAAAACGATTCTGCAAAACGAAGTTGTCAAGACGCAAACTACTTTTCGGGGTTTATACCTGTTCATCGAGCTCCTGCAAACGTTTTTCCATATCAGCTTTATGCGCATCTAGCGAAGCCTTCTCCATGAAGAAAGTTACTTTCACAGATTCCTGTATAGTAGAAAGATGAGCGGTTTCTGGCCATAACTCTTGCGTAGCCTACCAGTTCTGCTTCTGCTCTTTCGGCCTTTTCACAATACTTGTTCTCCTGCTGTTCGAGGTTCGCTAGTTGCTCATTCACCGCACTCAGCTCGCGAATAGTATCCGCTTGCAACAAAACCTGCACAAAGACTATATTGGAAACAAATAGCTGCGACTGATATTTAACCTGTCTTTCGTAATTATTCTGGGCTTCCCGCCAACGTTGATGCTCTTTTCTTAGATCCTCTTTCAAAACTTTAATTCGCTCTTCCGCTTGCTGTATCGCGCCTCTGAATGCCATCAACCGTCACAAAACCAGTTACGAAAAGCGAGACACCTACTCTTTTAGCGCCTCCGCGTTCTTTAGAGAAGCCACTTCCTTCAAAGCGTTTCGAAGTTCCGCTTCTCTATTAGCATTAAGCTGCCCATCTTCTCTTTCCTTTTCCAGGGAATGCGACTCCACCTCAGAAAGATGCTTCTGCAGTATCTTCAATTCTGAGTCCACAATGTCCTTTGATTTCGTGGCCTGCAAAACCACAATTAGCTGCATAAATCACAAGAATAAGTGTTCACCTCCTCTTTGAACTTCGAATGTGCCTCCTCCATCTTCTTTAACGCCTCTTCATTAGCTTGCGCAATATTTTTATACTAACAAGAGATACACCAGTAATTTAAAGAATTCAAACAACTTGTATGAGATCAAACCTGCTCAACGTGGGTTTTTGAGGCAAGTAACTCCTCCCTAAGCGTTTCTAGTTCTTCACGAGCATGTTGAAGGGTGACCAGTACCTGAACACGTGAAATGTTAGAAAAAATAAACAACAGAGAGAAAGAGAGAAAGCCTTACGTTGTTCTCCATATCTTCCGATCCAGAAATTTGCTTTCCACCGGCAACGACAGCCATAATCTAAGAATAATATTTCCTGGTGAGTAACAGACAAGAGAGCATCTCTATACCTTCTCATCTGCCCTTCTGAGGTTGGCCTCAAGTTCCAGACTGCGAACCTGGGAATAAAAGAAAACTCAGAGCAAGAGATGAAGAATAGCTAACCAACCTCAGCAACCTTCGCACGTGTTTCTGATGCTGACAACGCTGCAAGCGCTTCTTTGAGTTCTAGACCCAATGCCTCTCTGCGCTCCATGGCCTTGTCCCGTTCAGATGTAATGCTACGTGCATAATTACGCTCAAGTTCTAGTTTATGCTTCGCATCGACCCATTCCCTCTGGAATTATATGTTAGTTGAAGCACAAAATAACGGAAGTACATGCCTGCATTCGATTCACGTCATCCTCCAGTTTTTTCTTTTCCGCTGTCCAGGCTCCCTAGAAATAGATAAATGATCAGTTTTAACACAAAACTAACACGAGGAGGTACCTCGCGAACTTCATTTGTAGTTTCAATGGTATCTAGTGTTGCCTGAAAGTTATAAAGACTGTAAGAACATGTCCAGGACGCAAACCATGTAAACCTGCAAACGATGTACTCGATCGGACAACTGCGATACTTCCTGAGAAGCCCGTTTTTCGGCAGATTCCAGCAGAGCTTTCTCGCGCTCAAGAACAGAAACCTGAAATAGAAATGCACAGTACAGGGACAGCAGCCTGAATTTCTATTACCTCTATCGAGAGTCTTCTTGCTTCATCTTCGGCTCTTTTGACGTTTTGAGTGCTTTCTCTGAGCCTACGCTGGTAATCAGTTACAGATTGAGAAAGCTCCACGTTTCTCTCGAGTATTGAGTTCGTTTGTAATCGCTGTAATTCGCATCGTCTATGACAGCAACACACGATATCACTGTCTTACCTGACTTTCAGACTCTCGCGTCAATGACGCCAGCTTTTCCTTTGCAAAGGTTGCCTCCGCCTCGAATCGAGCGCATTCAACACGAGCCGAAGTAAGACTATGCCTGTGGAAAAAAGATGAGAATGATCCCACGACAATAGTCACCTGACCTGGTTTGGCTCAACTCCCCTTCAACTGTTTTCATCTGCTCCAGAGCAGCATTGAGCTGCCTACGACATTCATCCTATAAGAGAAGGAGAGCTCGTAAATTAACGAACCATTTGAAAAACATCGAATTACATGTGACGTTTCCATTAGGCTCCTTACATCCCGTCCATCACCATCTTAAACAAGGAACGAGAAACGTAAGAACAAAACTACAGAAAAGAAAACGAACCTAAAGAACGTGCTCCAGGTGTTACTGCGAATGTAGAACGAATCCCTCGCTCCTCTTCATAGAGTCTTTTATACATCCCAACCTGGGTAGAAAATCTGTATAGACCTCTCGAGACAAAAAGCAGAAACTTACAGTTCCCTGAAGCGATTCAATAATTTGAGCCTGCTCCTCAGCCCTTTTCAGCACCATGGCTACTTTCTCAGATGCTTCGTCTATTCGACCTTTGAGGCGAGACTCAAATTCTTCCTAAAACGAAACCATCAGCAAACCACATCTTGAGCTCTAGTCATTTACTCTTAGTTCTTGCTCCTTCTTTTCATTTTGTTCCGCCAGAACACGTGCAAGGGCACGAAGCTTGGTGTTGTGCTCCACCAAGCCATGGATATCCTTGAACGTCAACTGTAGGAAAAAAGAATCGTACTATGCAAAAAACGTACAAATAAGAATGTGTTACCAGTTTATCCGATATAACAGCATCCGAAGAACTTTTATCCGGTACAAGAGCACCCGCCGTTGAAGCCTCGTCCATATTTGAATCATCACCTCCAACTCCAAAACGTTTCTGGATATCTAGACACTCCTTAAGAAGAACCGCAACCTGAATGAATCCAACGAAAGTATTAAATACAATATTTTCCTTCTGACAGCGAAGACGGACCTGAGACTGAAGATCAGAAACGTCTTTTGTGGCGCCCTTCAAGTCTCGTTCTTTCCTCCGCAGTTCAGCCTATAAAAAAATATTAGTTCAAGTACCACAGAAGAAAGCCAGCCACGGACTTTCAACTCCCTGACGGAATTTTCCAAAGCCGCTTGGTCGGACATAGACAATTTCAGTTTCTCCTCCATAATTCCGTATGCATCAAGCATTCTGGTATACTCCGCTGCATAATTGCATATATAATAACCCAATAAAAATGGTCAAAGTTGTAAAACAAACCTCGTTCTCCAAGAATCAATGCAGCTTTCTCCTCAATCTCATGAAGAACCTTCACAGATCTAACGTTATAGCTCAACCTACAGAGCACTAGAAAATTACCCGATCCAATAAAGCTTGGCAACGGTTTCTTTCATGTCGTTCGTGTCGCCAGGCGTCTGTAGCTTCCTGATATTTGCTGTAAACAGTCCCAAGCTATTCCGGGATACTTACAGTTAGATACTTCAAGGAATGGAGATTAGGAACATACCGTCCATCCATCCCGGAGAAGTGTGGCCGCAAGAGCCGTTCCAGACACTCCATGAAACTCGGACGAATCATTGTGATGCCTAACAATTAGCAAGTTAGTTTACAACACGGTGTAAATTTTTAATAAACATCATACGTACTGTAAGAGCAGCTGGCCGGCATCCGCATCCAGGTCTAGAAAACCTTTATCAATACTTTTTACTTGCTGTAATTCAAGTATCCTCTTTTCAAAGTTTTCTTTCGCAGTGGATAGTTCCTGTCAAAGTTTGGATGGCTGAATAGTCAACGCAAAGGATGCATTCAAACCTTTTCAGAAGCCTCTCGAGCAGCCACCTCCTTTTGAATTTGCTCTTCAAGCTCCTCTTTAGTTTGATTCAAATGCGCCTGTAATAAAGCATATGATAAAAGGCAAAATAAATTACAAGTACCTCCAACGCTTTAATAACTCCTTCAAAATCGTTTGCTTTCTTAGACCACTCCTCGGAACTTTGTTTATAAAGTTCGGCCAGCTTTGATGCCTGTTAGATAGGAAATTCTGTCAGTAGAAAAGCAAAACAAGAAAATACGGATCTTACAGTGGTAACTTCAATTGATAAATGTTCTTCTTTAACGGCAGCATCCTCTTTGACAAATCGCAATTCCTGACATTGCAGGTCATTATACAACGATCTTACATCAGATAACTTACTTCAATTAATCCATGTTTTTCCGTTTCCAGATCTTTCACACGAGCTTGACTTCGTACCAGAGCGTCTTCTTTCTCCTTGGCAGCCCTTTCAAACTACAATATCCAAGTCATCAATCCAACAGCCAGCAGCAAGGAAGTCTACCTCCATATTCTTGGTTTGCAACTCAGCCTCCGATTGTGCATTTCGGTTTCGCTCTTCCAGCAAGTTGGCAGACCTCGTTGTGAGCTCTTCAGCAAGCCAGGAATTATGCTCAGCAAAAATATCCTTTTCCTGCTCAAGAAACAAAGATGAAAAGAAAAAGAAAGGCTTAGCAATCTAAACATTTTGATAGTTTACCTGTGTTACTCGAGCTTCTTGTGCCCGTGATCGGGTGAGCTCGGCCATAAGTTCGTGAACTCTACTCTCTAGCCCACTCTTCTCTTGGGTGAGAGCAAGCTTACAGGACGGAAAAAAAAAAGTAAGTATGTTAACGTCACCTAAGAGGGAGAGACTTACCACTTTCTCAAGCAATTGATTTGAGGATTCGTTCTTCTCATCCAACTCCAAGTTCTTCTTCTCGACAACGTCCAGTATTGTTTTCCGCGACTTGTGAAGCTCACTAATCTCCAACTCCCTAGTCTCGAGATCGCTGTCTCGTTTCATCTACGAGCAGCAACGATCGATCACGAAAATGCCAATCGAAAAAAATCCACTCACCAGCTCGAGCTCCAACTGATGCACTCTCGCCTGGGCTGCAGCATGCTCGGACGATTTATTCTCCAGCGCCAGGCGGAGCTGCGCCTTCTCGCTCTCCAGCCTAGCCACCTGATCCATAAGCGCCACATACTTTTGCTCCACCAGCGCGCACGTCTGCTCGGCATTGATTCTGGCCGCGTCCGCCCGAGCCTTCTCTGTCTCAAGCTGGACCTGCTGATTGCGGACGACATCGTCCGCCTTGCGCACCACCGCCGCTACATCACCACCGAGCTGCTCGAGCTCCTCATCGGTGATGAAGAGCGGCATTGCTTGCGCGCTCCCCCTACAAAGAACCCTAGTAGTAGAACCCTAAAACCTCATGAAAGAGTGGTTTAAGACCTTTTACCCATAAAAACTTAACCCTATTTCACTCATCAGGTGTGAGATATAAAAGCTTCGAGATGCAGCAAAGTTGAGGTTGAAGAGAGCTTTCCTGTGATGAGCGGTGGCTTTTCTCTTCTCGTGTTTGATCCTCGGGTAGTTCATACAACAAAGATGAAGGTATGCCGATTTATTCTATCTCTTAGAAATTTGTCCTCAAGGTCATTGTTCCTTCAGATAGGATTCAAAGCTGAGCCTCCTCCCCCAGAGAAAATTTTTGTCAAGAGATAAAGAAAAGATGGAAGAAAAAACATGGACATCCAGGTGAATGTTTACATAGTGGTGTGACATAGCCTCTACGATTTTTAATAATTAAAAGTGAAGAACTTTGTGTGGTGACACTTCAACGAAAAACCATGAGGGGCCAGCTGCATTTACATATAAGTGACACTTTTTTGTTAAGAAAACCTCTGGGACGTGAACCCGGAATACTTGTTTACATCGTAGACAAGACTGATCAAAGGCAGGAAAAATAGCAAGGAAGCTATTTCCTCCAATATAATATTAAACACTAATAATATTAAAATTAATCACATAACTGATAATAATTAGGGGAGGAATAATCTCGACAACCAAGGCCATCGCGAATCAATCCATATCTAATCAAACTGCACTCTTACAGAAGCAAAATCTTAGGAATCAAAGTAATCTTCCCTAAGGTCGGATCTTCTTGCAAGTAAGAAACACACAGCCCGCAAAGAAGGCTTTTAAGCCGAGTAAACTGGCCACACTCCTCATCTGTGTCAACGCATTAATCACATTTTCCTAATCCCCACTTTGCAGTTTTGGTTGACAACATTCCCCAGGAAACCATATATAAACAGCAGTACCCAAACACTTTAAATTCCTCTTCGTTGCTTACGAGCTGCATGGATGTATCAAGCTAGCCATATGCCACAAAGCTTCCAAGATCAGCATCACGACCTTGGCCCAGAACTGTCTGTGAATGTGAGTGTCAACGTAAATCTCAGCTTGTCGGTTCACTCTTGTTGTTGTGAGACGATGGTGGAGACCATGGACAGCCAGCCACCTTAATCTGGATTTTTTCACATTGGCTCGAATATAAGATGTTTTGGTCCTAAATGAAACATGTAAAAAGAATATTTGATCATAATACAAGTTAACCTTCAATGTTCTTTTGCTATATGTCAATAATAATAATGTGGAAAAATAAATGAGTAAAAAACCAAAATAGCACAGCAAATTATTTCTCATTGTTTTCTCATTCTCTCCTCTCTTTCTCAACAGGGGTAGTCTCGGTGTATGTTTCGGAATAATACCCAGAGAGAATGTGCTCTCCTTCACTTTTGATCCTTGCAAGCAAGTTGGGAACTAGGAACCTTGTATATCTTCAAGCCAAAGAAGGAAAAGAATTTGCTTACTTACAACTGGCGATTTCGAGCTCTTTCTTCTTCTACAAGGGCTCGTTCCTTGTCGACAGCCAGTTCCCTGAATCGTCTCTTTGTAGCAGTGGAGGATTCCCACTTGTTTTCGGGGTGAAAAGGCGAGAACTTGTATCGTCTATCAGCCATGAGAAGACCACCTGAGCAACACACCAAAGAACTCTCAGACTTGAGCAAAGAAGAAGCGAGCACGCGGACTTACCAATCACTGCTAGATTGACGAAAAAGAAACCGGCGAAAACTCCCTTGAGGCCGAATTTGCTGTTCTCGAGTCTGGCAAAGTCGAGAGGTCTTGGAGGAGCTGGAGCTCGCCTACGTACTGCAACATAGAAGAACTAGCAGCAATTAGCTAGAACTTTTCTCTTTGTCCATCTCTTTTCTTCATACCACTGACGCTCGCAGCTAGTTGTGCTGCTCGTTCCTCCAAGGCCATGGAAGGGCCTTCACAGAAAAAAAATATTCAAACAAAGAGTATGCAAGCTATGAGGAGAGATCACAGGGAAAGGAGAAGCAATGCTTGAGAAGAAGTGAAAAAGCAATGGGAATCAAGGTCATCGCTTACCGGAGAGATCAGCCACTCGCTTCTCCAAGGCGCTGGGACCTTGACGAAAAACCGTGAGCAAAACGATCGATCTGGAGTAATGCAGGCATTGATTCGGCAAAAATTTCGATTACCTGGAGGATGCCCTGGCGCTGGAGCAGTATCTGGCGCTGCCGCTGGAGTAGCATCTTGCGCTGCCGCTGGAGCAGCAGTGCTCTCCACCATTTTCGACGAGAAGAGAATAGGGCTTTTGTTAGGGCTCCAGAAAGAGTTTAGAGAATATGCTGTGTCGTGGAATTGGATATTCTAAGGGCATTGTATAAATTTTATTTTTGCACACGAAATTACACTCTTCAAGCCCTAGGGGTTTGCAGCGCCTAGGGTTTGATCAAGCGCCTAGCGCCCAGCGCCATCGTCATGGATCTCCGGTTCCCTTACTCTCCGGCGGAGCTGGCGCGGGTCAAGCGCGTCCAGTTTGGGCTGATGAGCCCTGACGAAATTGTATGGATTCTCCTCGCCTTTGTAAAAGGGGGGAAAATTTCTGAGACTAATCCGTGCTTGTGGTGTTCTTGCAGCGGCAAATGTCCGTCTGTAAGATCGAGTCGAGCGAGACTTACGACAGGGGTAAGCCAAAATCTGGCGGCCTCAGCGACCCGAGACTGGGAACGATTGACCGACAAACCAAGTGTGAGACTTGTGGCGGGAGTATGGCTGAGTGTCCTGGGCATTTTGGGCATTTAGAGCTTGCCAAGCCCATGTTTCACATCGGATTCCTCAAGACAGTACTGGCCCTCCTCCGCTGTGTGTGCTACAACTGCTCGCATATCCTAGCACTCGAGGTTTGTCGCGAAACGCTGCTACTTTGCTTTATCTTTGGTTTGGTGTGTTGACAGAACGATCACAAGTTCAAGCTCGCGAAAAAGGCGAAGAATCCCAAGCAGAGGCTCAAAAAGGTCTTAGAGTGCTGTAAGAACAAGCAGAAATGCGAGGGAAACAACAACGATATGGATGGCGAACAAGATGATCAAGAGGGCGAGCAGAAAGGCCACGGAGGTTGTGGAGCTCAGCAGCCGAAAATCACCATTGACGGGATGAAGATTATTGCCGAGTTCAAGGTTCCAAAAAAGAAAGGCGACGACCAGGATCAGTATTTGCCAGAGCCTGTCGAAAGAAAACAGCAACTTACTGCTGAAAGGGTGGGACACTTCTTTGTTAAGTGATGGTTCCAACGTTCTATTCGTGCAGGTTCTGGGTATACTAAAGAGGATAAGTGACGAGGAATGCCGCATACTCGGTCTTGATCCTCAGTTTGCTCGTCCAGACTGGATGATTTTACAAGTTTTGCCCATTCCACCTCCACCCGTGAGGCCTTCTGTGATGATGGACAGCTCGGCCCGCAGTGAAGTAAGTTTACTTTTTTCTTGTTCAAGTTTACGTTTCTTACATTCCGTTTCTGCTGTTTTGTTCTTTTTTAGGACGACTTAACTCACCAACTTGCCATGATAATTCGGCACAATAACAACCTGAAGCGGCAGGAGCAGAATGGTGCGCCGACACATATTATCAATGAGTTCACCCAGCTCTTGCAATTTCATATTGCGACATATTTCGATAATGATCTTCCTGGCCAGCCAAGGGTACATGAAATGTTTGGCTTGCTTGTTACTTAATCAGAATGTGCAGGCAACACAACGCTCTGGTAGACCCATCAAATCCATCTGCCAACGCCTAAAGGCTAAAGAGGGACGGATTCGTGGGAACCTGATGGGCAAGCGTGTTGATTTTTCTGCTCGAACAGTTATCACCCCGGATCCGAATATCAATATTGACGAGCTAGGAGTGCCATGGAGTATTGCGTTGAACTTGACTTATCCAGAAACTGTGACTCCATATAACCTCGAACGGTGAGCAATTCTTTCATTGTGTTTATCTCTGAACTTTTTCCTTTTATGAACCAGATTGAAAGAGCTGGTGGAATATGGGCCGCATCCACCCCCTGGTAAAACAGGTGCAAAGTATATCATTAGAGAAGATGGTCAGCGTCTGGATCTAAGGTATCTCAAAAAGAGCAGTGATCGGCACTTGGAACTTGGCTACAAGGTAATGGATTTTTTGTCGCTGCAGTCTCTTATTTTTCTTGTTAATGTAGGTTGAGAGACACTTATGCGACGGCGATTTTGTGCTCTTTAACCGGCAGCCAAGTCTGCATAAAATGTCAATCATGGGACACCGAATACGGATAATGCCTTACTCGACGTTTCGGCTTAATCTCTCCGTGACGAGTCCATACAATGCTGATTTTGATGGGGACGAGATGAACATGCATGTGCCTCAGTCTTTCGAAACCAGGGCTGAGGTCTCAGAGCTCATGATCGTTCCCAAGTGTATAGTGTCTCCGCAGTCGAACAGACCCGTTATTGGAATCGTCCAGGACACACTTCTTGGGTGTCGAAAAGTAACCAAGAGGGATACTTTTATTGAAAAGGTAATTTTGTTGTCTTGCTGTCTGAAGCCTGGCATTGATATCTTCTGTCTGCAGGACGTTTTCATGAACATCCTGATGTGGTGGGAAGATTTTGATGGGAAAGTGCCGACTCCAGCAATTGTCAAACCAAGGCCAATATGGACTGGAAAGCAGATTTTTAGTCTGATTATTCCCAAGCAAATCAATATGGTGCGAACTGCTGCCTGGCATAATGACAGTGAAACGGGCGATAATTCTCCTGGTGACACGATGGTGCGCATCGAGAAGGGCGAACTCCTGACTGGCACACTCTGTAAAAAGACATTAGGAACATCGTCTGGGAGTTTGATTCACGTCATATGGTAAGCCTTTCTTTCTGTCTCGGAGTTTCACGTTAACTTTATACTTTTCAGGGAGGAAGTCGGGCCTGATGCTGCTCGCAAATTTTTGGGTCATACACAGTGGCTTGTCAATTATTGGTTGCTGCAACACGGTTTCAGCATTGGTATTGGAGACACAATTGCTGACTCTGCAACCATGGAGAAGATTAATGACACTATCTTTAAGGCCAAGAACGAAGTGAAAGACCTGATTAAAATCGCGCAAGAGAAGCAGCTAGAGTCTCAGCCCGGTCGAACAATGATGGAGTCTTTTGAAAACAGAGTCAATCAGGTGAATTTTCCCCTCCTTTTTTATTCTTCTCGTACTAACTTATAATTATGCAGGTCCTTAACAGAGCTCGTGATGAAGCCGGAAGCAGTGCTCAGAAAAGCTTGTCTGAGAGCAACAACGTAAAAGCTATGGTGACCGCTGGATCGAAGGGCTCGTTCATCAACATATCCCAGATGATTGCTTGTGTGGGACAGCAGAACGTTGAAGGGAAACGAATTCCGTTCGGTTTCATCGACAGAACGCTCCCGCACTTTACAAAGGATGACTACGGCCCCGAGAGTAGGGGGTTCGTCGAAAATTCTTATCTACGGGGTCTCACACCGCAGGAGTTCTACTTTCACGCCATGGGAGGTCGAGAGGGTCTTATCGATACAGCAGTGAAGACTTCGGAGACAGGTTACATCCAAAGACGTCTAGTGAAGGCAATGGAAGACGTGATGGTGAAATACGATGGCACAGTTCGGAATTCGCTGGGGGACGTTATACAGTTCTTATACGGAGAAGATGGCATGGACGCGGTTTGGATTGAATCACAGCATCTCGACTCCATCAAAATGAAGAAGAAGAATTTTGATATGACTTATAAGTTCGAGGTGGATAACGAGAACTGGAATCCGGACTACATGGCCAGCGACTGTGCAGAAGATATTAAGACCATCCAGGAGATTCGCAACGTGTTTGATGCCGAGGTCCAGAAGCTTGAAGCCGATCGCAAGCAACTCGGTCTGGAGATTGCGACTTCTGGGGAGCCGCACTGGCCCTTGCCGGTCAATCTGAAGCGTCTCATTTGGAACGCGCAGAAGATTTTCAAGATTGAAATGAAGAAGCCATCGGACATGCATCCTATGGAGATTGTGGAGGCAGTGGACAAGCTGCAGGAGAAGCTACTGGTGGTGCCTGGTGACGACCCGATCAGTATCGAAGCTCAGAAGAATGCCACCTTGTTCTTCAACTGTCTACTTCGTAGCACGTTCGCCAGCAAGCGTGTTCTCAAGGAGTACAGGTTGACGAAGGAGGCCTTTGAGTGGGTCATTGGAGAGATCGAGACGCGGTTCTTGCAGTCACTGGTGGCACCCGGGGAGATGATCGGGTGCGTGGCTGCTCAATCCATCGGCGAGCCGGCTACACAGATGACGCTGAATACTTTCCACTATGCTGGTGTCAGTGCGAAGAACGTCACTCTCGGTGTTCCCCGGCTGAGGGAGATTATTAACGTGGCCAAGAAGATCAAGACGCCGTCGCTGTATGTTCACTTGAAGCCTGAAGTAAGCAAGGAGAAGGAGAGGGCCAAGAATGTGCAGTGCGCGCTCGAGTACACGACGCTGAGAAGTGTCACGCAGGCGACGGAGATTTGGTATGATCCAGATCCGATGAGCACCATCATTGAGGAGGACGTGGAGTTTGTCAAGTCTTACTACGAGATGCCAGACGAAGATGTCACTCCGGACAAGATCTCTCCCTGGCTACTGCGTATCGAGCTCAATCGCGAGATGATGGTTGACAAGAAACTCAGCATGGCAGACATCGCCGAGAAGATCAACCTCGAGTTTGTGGACGACTTGACGTGCATCTTCAACGACGACAACGCAGAGAAGCTGATCCTGCGGGTCCGGATCATGAATGACGACGTCAGCAAGGGTGGCGAAGTAGACCAGTCGGACGACGACGTCTTCCTGAAGAAGATCGAGAGCAACATGCTCACGGAGATGGCGTTGCGAGGGATCCCTGACATCCACAAGGTGTTTATCAGGGAGCACAAAAGGCAGAGGTTTGACGAGCATGAGGGCTTCAAGACCGAGACCGAGTGGATGCTCGACACCGAGGGCGTCAACATGCTGGCTGTTATGTGCAACGAAGACGTGGACGCGACGAGGACGGTCAGCAACCATCTGATCGAAGTCATTGAGGTGCTGGGCATCGAGGCCGTCAGGCAAGCTCTCCTCAAGGAGCTCAGGGAAGTCATATCCTTCGACGGCTCCTACGTCAACTACAGGCACCTGGCCATCCTGTGCGACGTCATGACTTACCGGGGCCACCTCATGGCGATCACTCGCCACGGTATCAACCGCAACGACACGGGCCCGATGATGCGCTGCTCGTTCGAAGAGACGGTGGACATCCTCCTAGATGCGGCGGTGTTTGCCGAGGCGGACCATCTCAGGGGCGTCACCGAAAACATCATGCTCGGGCAGCTAGCTCCCATCGGGACGGGCGACTTCGGGCTGCTGCTCAACGACAAGATGCTGGAGCACGCGATCGAGCTGCAGCTCCCGAGCTACATGGAGACGGCCGACTTTGGCCTGGGGGGCGTGACTGGAACTCCGCACCACGAAGGGATGATGTCCCCGAGCTATCTGCTGAGTCCCAACTTGCGAGCCTCGCCGATCACGGACGCACAGTTTTCGCCGTATGTTGGTGGCATCACATTCTCTCCGGGAGCTTACAGCCCGCTTTCGCCAGCGTACAGCCCTGCGGGGTACAGCCCGGCTTCTCCAAACTACAGCCCCTCGTCGCCGACTTACAGTCCATCATCGCCAGCTTACAGTCCGGCCTCTCCGGCGTACAGCCCGAGCTCTCCAGGCTACAGCCCGGCATCGCCCGCGTACTCTCCAACGAGTCCATCTTACAGTCCGACGTCGCCGAGCTACAGTCCCACTTCACCGTCCTACTCTCCAACCTCTCCATCGTACTCTCCAACTTCGCCGTCTTACTCCCCGACCTCTCCATCGTACTCTCCAACCTCGCCATCTTACTCTCCGACGTCTCCTTCCTATTCTCCCACTTCGCCATCTTATTCTCCCACTTCTCCGTCCTACAGTCCCACTTCTCCCTCGTACTCTCCCACCTCGCCGTCCTACAGCCCGACGTCTCCCTCGTACTCCCCAACCTCGCCATCCTACTCTCCCACTTCGCCTTCTTACAGTCCGACGTCTCCGAGCTATAGCCCGACGTCCCCGAGCTACAGCCCGACCTCTCCGAGCTACAGCCCGACGTCTCCGTCTTACAGCCCGACGTCACCGGCTTACAGCCCGACTTCTCCGTCTTACAGCCCGACGTCGCCTTCTTACAGCCCGACTTCTCCTTCCTACAGCCCGACTTCGCCTGCTTATAGTCCGACGTCGCCGGCATACAGTCCCTCGTCTCACACTTACAGTCCCAGCAGTCTCAAGTATAGCTCCGCGAGCCCAAGCTACAGGTAAGTTACAAGGATTCTTTTTCTTTTCTTCTCTCGATCTTTTTCTTTGTTAATGGTTTTTCTTGTGCTTGTTCCAGCCCGACCTCGCCCTCCTCGACGTACTCGCCTACGAGATGAGACGAAGGAATGTAAGAGTTTTTTTATATGAGAGGTTTGTGAGGTTTTGCTCGCGTTTGGTTTGGTTTGACGGATGAGTTGTTCCAGCAGAGGCGATGGATGATTAACACACAAGTTTACTGAAGCTGTCCACAACCTGTAGAGCAGCCAGAAAATAAGAAGTTGGAAGAGAATGTAACTATTGTAGCTTATGACAGTTTTATTTATGATACGCATTGGAGGTCGTCCTTGGTGCTGCTAGGGAGCATGCGCGATTTAGAGAGAGAATGCATGACTCTAAGTAAGATGGAATTTTTCTCTCTTGAGTGAAATGCTTTTAAATCCACTTCGCTTGATCTTATTATTGATTTGATATTCTATAAGTTTCTAAAGAAACTTCAATCATGTCTTGAAGTTCTTTGTCTGGGTTTTTAAAAAGATCTACTTGCCTTACTTCGTTGTAGGTGATTAACATCATTCGCACTATCTCAAAGTTAAACCTTTTGATGTTTTTAGGTAGATCTTTCTGATGACTGATGAAGTAGCTTTCATTGAGTTCCTTTTTGGCTTTATTAAGCAAGCTTTGCAAATATATTATCGCATCTGCTTCAGTTGCACCCGGATGATCTTTCATATAACAAGAAACTCCTTGTGCTTGTTGTCCAAGTTTCATCTCAATCTAAAACGCAAAAATAAAAGGATTTTAGTGCTTAAAAATACTATTCTCAGAGAGACACACACATACACACACACACACAGACAGAGAGAGAGAGAGAGAGCAAACCTTATATGTTTTCATATCATTGGAAAGCCTAGAGATGATACGATCAAGCTTGAGAGGTTTGCTATCATAAATAGTATTTAATAACTCTTCTGTTAAAAGCTCACCACAAAAGAATATGCCCATAAGTACGTGGACCCAACTTGAGACACTAATTTCAGCATTTGCCATGTACTCCTCAAAAGTTGGAATATACCCTTGAATTTTCCAACGAGCATCAGCAATGATAGATTTTATGACTTTTATGCACTATGAAGATTACTGTAAATAACACGAAATAGAAAAAACTGATTTAAAATACTTACAATTCCTAATAAGTATTTGTAAATGAACTCTGGAGATAAATTCTGATGTATTTTGGAAGCTGCCTCAGTCATGACAAGAACAATAGTATAAAATTCTTGAAAGAGAATCTTATATTCTAGAGAAAGTTCTTGTGACATAGAGATATCCCACCTGGAAGAACAAAAGAGCAAGCATTACTATAACTTGTAGAAGTTTATATATACAACCTTTCAATCGCATTTTCGAGATGATCAAGCTCTTTAATGTTGGTTGTGTAGTCCAAAAGATCATCAAATAATGTGTTTATGCAAAAAGTCTTTGTAAAAAAAACTCTCAACTGGCCAAATTCTTCCTCATGGAAAGTTGAACAAATAAGATAGTGAATATAGGGGATCATGTTGATCTTAGCTTTCAGTCTAGTAGATGGGACATTTTCAAAACCTGATGAATGCCACCAGCTAAAAAATTAAAAACACACTAAGTTAGAACATTAGAAGACTAAGAAATGTTTGTTTGCCTACTTGACCAATTCTATCATCTCAGAAGGTTGATATGATTGACACTGTTGAGCATATCGATTTGCAAGCTCTAAAAGTACTTTGTTATTCACTAGAGGCAACCTTTAACAAAAGAGAGGTAAGAGAAAGTTATAGGATTTTAGAAGTTTAACTATGAATGTCACTTACCGGTAAATAGTTTTAGCAATCCAAGGATCATCCACACCATAGTGCTTAATATAGGCATTATTGTAGATTCTTGGCAAGCTGTCATGAAATGGATTTGCTAGCTCAAATGCCACCTGTAGAGACAACAAACACATTAGAGTTTCCCAGCTATTCATGAATCTCAGACCTCTCCCATGAGGTTCTTCTTCATTGCCCATTTATCCATGTGAGAGCTCTCAACATTAAGCAGATAACCATGGGAGTACTTGAAAGTCTTTGTAAGAATCTCTTCATTCGGGAAATCAATCTGGGAAGCCCGATGCAAGTTGAGCATTTCAGAGACCCCATGAGAGACTTCACCAATAAAGCAGCAAAACTTGTCTCCAGGCAGCCAGAACTGGTTGAATGCATCTGTACGTAGTTCAAACTCATAGATTAATCCACTACAAAAACTATTTATACCTGAAGATACATTATACCCATGCATCCGAAGGATACGGAATGCCATTGCTGTGTCGTCGATGTCCTTGACTAGGCACGTAGATCCCCATCCAATTCCTTCGTTTGTCCAAGAGCTGGTGCAACCACCATTTAAAGAAGAGCTGCATAAGTATTAAAAGTTCAAAGGCTGTACCTATACACGTAGTTGAGGACAGCCTTGATCTCATCTCTGAAGAAGACGTCAATGCCCAGGCGCTCAATAGTGTCGACCACCCATAAACTTTCGAAAAGATCGATGGGGTAATGACACGGAACTGCGAAGTACAGCCGATTAGCACAAAGGATTTGAAGAAGATAGCTAGTTTACCAGCATAATTTTGATCTTTCATAGCTTTTTGCAAGTATTGCAACGACTTCCTGTCCTTGGTCTTCAAGTAAACACATGCTGTTGACGAGGGCGAGCTCAAAAAGGATCCATCTCTGGACTGAAGCTTAAGGATCTTTTGCCAGTCCATCTCAAGGCCTTGAAGGCCCTCCAAGGAGTATAGCAACGTCGTGGGAGCCGAATGAAGCCTATCTAAGGGAATCCTGGATGAACACCAAACGTTTTCAAAGCAGATATTACGCACATAAAAACTCACTTGGCCAATTTCTTCTTGGTGGAAATCTCTAGCAACCTTGTGAACTCTGTGTCATACGGAAGATCAAGGCCCAGCTGCTTTGCTTCTTTGAGCATCATTGGGAACGTCACCTCGAAACCTGACAAGAGATCTCCATCGTCTTGCTTCAGCTTAATCATGTTCTCACGCAAAAACTTCGTGCCTGTGAAGAATTAAAAAGAGTCCAAGGTGTAAACAGAGCAAAAGAACGAGAAGCACACCTTGCGTAATGCAGCTGTGCCCGATGTCCCAGAGCTTGAGCGTGACCAGGCAGGAGAGCGTGGATAACACTCTGTCATAGAGTTGCAAGTGACGATCATAACCCCATGATCCATCCGAAAGTTGACTGCTGATGATCCACTCCAAGGCCTCCGGAAACTCGGGAAGAGAGGAGTCGGATTCAGACCCGATTCGAGCCACCCAGGCGGTATCATAAGCCGAAGGACTGATTTCCCCCTTGCCACTCGCGAGTTTCATGAGCCATCCCTTTACTTCCGCGACAAGCAGTGACGTTTCTCTGTGATCAAGCTCCTGGACGTGATCGGCAGGGACGTGGAGAATGCCTTGGTATGGCTGTTGCTTCTTTTTCTGGTTCTCCTGTAGGAAGAAATCTCCACTCAAGCTTGTGCTTCGACTTACTGGAGCCTCAGCTGGCTTCTTGTTATCAAAGCTCAATGAACAGCAGCTAATTCTAGTTGCGGGAGCTGCATTAACAGGCCAGTGTTAGTGCGAAACTTGACAAATTCTCGATTTACTTAAGCTTCCTTTCCGCGCCTGTGCGTTGCTCTTGATGATACCTCTGCTGGACTTGAGGCTTGCACTGATGCCAGTGTGTTTAACGCTGAACAAAACCGATGCCATTGCAGAATCTTGCCTCCCTGCCTTGAAATTTGACACGATCTGGAGCACGCATATCAATGTCACGATTAAGGAAGAATCTATCAAGACATATGAAGTAAGCAAGGGTTTTTACCTTTATTGTAGTAGTTAGGCATTTACTAGGGATTATGCTTGATCTAGGAATTGAGTTTTTCATGTTGATCTTGCTTATCTAAACTTTAATGGGTTACTTCTCTATTTGGAGGCTCTTGACATATGGGGTATTTATGTTCAGTGTTTGACTTTAAAGGCATTTATATTAGCAGTAGCGCCTAGCACCTTTCTTCAAGCCAAGGTAAATTCTAATAGTTGGTATCTATTTTTTAGTCTTTCTTGTGGCTAGGAGCTTAACACACACTGTTACAGCACAAACATTTGTACTGCTATAAAATATACTTTATTGTTGATATTTGAGACTTGCTGGCCAAATGTGGGAGCTTATGAAACTTCTTTGATGCTAGAGATAGTTTAGAGGATATAACTGAGCCTTTTAGGTGGAGCACCTTGAGATATGACCGAAATATGGAATTCGAGGATATATTTTGGCTTGGAGTGGTAGAGATGGTAAAGATACCATGATCATGTATTAAATTTTAATTCTTTATTGTGTTTCTTGTCTTTTGCTCTCCAAGAGGGACTACAAACACTTGAAAACACCCTCCTTTGTCCACAAGCTGGTGGTTGAGCTGTCATACCTTCTAAGCATTTGAGGTGGGTGACTTCTGCTTTTGACCACAGAGATACACGCTCAGGCAGAGAGCCATGACATATTTGGGCCATTTCCATGACAGTGTATCAACTCGCCCTTCCTGCATCATCCCGGATAAACAAGGTTTTCCATGTATCGGACCATAGGCCACCACTAGAGGCAGTAGAGCCTGTCACCTGTTCTTCTTGGAGAGCGACAGCTTCTTTTCCCGGATCAGGTAGTAGGTCGATGTCCGCAGGCACAGGACTATCCCACGTTATGTGACACATGGGAGGATCTTGGCCAGCTTTTCGAATGGACTCCAGATATGGCGCCTAGGGGTACGGAAGTCTTTTTCCCCTTCCAGCTCAGCTATCTTGAGCATGATGGAACACGGCAAATTAGAGCAATCTACACAAACACGATTTGTCGTGTAGAAACACTCTCCTTTGTCCACAAGCTGGTGGTGCAACGTTTGGAATCAGAAATCGAGTAACAGAAACTTAAACGACAAACATTTTCGAAGTATAAACTAACAAAGGAAGAACTTGCTCCGTCTAGGCCCAGGGTGAAGGGCGCCAAAATCTTCCAAATGTTTTTGACAGACCATGTCGAAGTCCAAAGACAGAAACCTTGTTTCTTGGAGGGCTACGCTCACAGTTTTTGCCAAGAATGAGAATTTTCCAAGGAGATGAATGCACGAGAGGCATGTAATCTTCTGGAATGCGATTTCGGCTTACGTCCAAGTCGCGAAAATGGATGAAGTGCAATTCTCATCATCTCGCCCTCGCGGAATACGAGCGCCAGGAATTGAGAGAATGCCCCGTTGGACCTGGAGCCTGGTAAGCATACGCCCAGCACAGATCCGCAAGCATACACTTAACTCCCTCAAATCCCATGAAGTCCATGGGTAGGAAAGTTGGGCTCAAATGTCCTTTTAAGCGTTTGACGGGCAGCGATGCCAGGATCGATTTAATTTATTAACACTAAACAATTAGTTTGCCATTTCATACTTTTTGGATCACACAAAGGAGAGTTTACCATCCCATCTTTTGACAGTGCTTGTCTTTCACGTTATAGCAGTCAATAAAGATCGCCACAACCTTTTTGTTCGCGCTGAAATCTTACTCCAACATAAATTACTCCATCATGATCTGGTCGGGTCTGAATGGCAGGAACGTCCATCAAGAAATCAACAACAAAAACTTGCTTTCCATGCTGCTCATGATTTCGTTTTGCTCTTTGCATGCACTCCGCCAGCTGCTCCCGTCTACAATTCACCAAAAGCTCAAACCCCTTGGTTCCATCTTTGACGAGTGTATCTAACCGTTTTTGAGATGGCTTTGACGCATCAATCTTCTCTTTCACTTCTGGAAGGACAAGAAAATCACGCATTGGATAAGCATGCACTAGAACAGCTTTGAGTCGGCACATGAAAGCAAACTGAAGAGCGTATTCAGCCTGGTTCTGACACTCCTCCATGGTCTGAAGAACTTGCATGATAACCCACTTCCCATTAACAACACCCTGCACAGGTGGATCCTCAACCTCCTCACTCGTGATCACACATTGCTTGAGCAATTCGGTAAGCAACAAGGGAGAAGAGATCCCCAACGAGTCACCGGATCCTGCCTCTTCACCGCCAAGACGCCTTCAGCTAGCAAGTCCTGCACGCTCTCCAGTTCTTGGTAGGGCTTCTCCACTGCTTGTACAAATCCCATGACCCGCTCATACCCCTCCTTGCTTCTTGCCTGCGTATTGAAACTGTCCATGATTCGCCAGTACGTAGCTTTGTCGAAAATGTAAGTCCTGAGTTCATACGAACGAACGCTCTGCCGCCAATCCTTGATCGTGAACAGCTCCATCCGGAGCATGAAAGCCAAGCAGACCCCGACCAGTCCTTTATGCCCCGAGGTCAGCTCAAACACTGACGCAGCTATTTCCTTGACGTCCTTGACTGCGCCACCATAGTCTTCATTTGCTTGTTCCAGGAGTGAAACGATGTCGTCCAGATCAAAACCTGACGCTCGAACGTAGTAATCGTGTGGTAAGGGCGATAGCCTCCTCGGCTCCTCGATCAGACTCTTTCTTCCGTATCTTCCGTCCAGGAGATCTCGCACAGTCTCCACTCATATCAGAATGCACGACTTGAGGTTGTACAGATCCTTCCTCTGCTTCACATCACGAAGGGTGGCGAAGAAAACATCCAGGCAGTGTTGCAGCACCAAAGTACTTCGGCGATACGAGACGCATGAAACGAATCAAAGTATCAAACATGGTGGACGTGCTTCAACTGGGATTCGCGTCCGCCAGGCCACCCAAGCGAACCGGGTACACTAAACCACTGTCCATCATCTGGCGCATAACAGCCATAGCGGCAGTTGTCTTGCCGCTTTGCCTCGGCCCCAGCAACGCGCAGTACTTGCCGGCTTCCAGATCACTCCTAAGCCCGGCGTGGATCTCTCCAGGCTCCACAAAGTAATTGGATTCGGGTGTCACAGCGAGGCCAACCCCAAACCCCCGCCTGTAGCACATCGGGGACGCTCTTGCTCTTGGTCGAAAACTTACGCGATGGCTGAATGCATCCAGAAGGACAGGGCGTAGCGTACAGGCAACTCATAGGCGCTCGCCTTCTTCAGCACTGCAGTATTTACAAAGCCAGCACGCCAGAGCTTGGACAAATCCTCTTCCGTGAAGGCCGAGAGCTCCTGTTGATCGAGACCGCCTTGGAGCAGCGCCTCCTTCACCACACTGCACTGAGGAGCCGCCTGGATCATTTTCTTCGATCCATAGCTGCAAGCGCACAGGTGAATGCGTCCTACCATCTCCATCGCCATTAAGCCTTCGCGTTGGAAATTAGGGTTGATATTACTTGTCCAAATTTTTTAAAGGCAATGGCGAAGCTGTGGATCGCACTAATGTTCTTGCTCATTTCATTTCCATTGCAAGAATCATCAGCGCAGGAAATCGTCAACATAACGATCTTGCACAATGCTGTCAAAGAGGGCGCAGGTATTATAATGTTTTTCTATGGTACAAGGATTTTTCTACAAATCTTTCTATCCAGTGTGTCTCGATGGAAGCCCACCAGCGTATTACTTGCGGAGAAGAAATTCCCCAAATTGGCTCCTGTTCTTGCGGGTATTTTATGATTATACAAAGAACTTGTTTCCAATTTTCCATAGGGTGGAGGTGTGTGCTATGGCGACAGCAAAGAAAGGTCCTGCTTGAGCCGCAGCACATCAGAACTTGGATCATCGCAACAGATGAGTGAGCAAATCAGCCTAAACTTTGGTATTTTGAGCATTTCTAAGAAGAACAATCCAGGTCTTTTTTCTTCTTTTTCTTTTGGTAGTGTAAGGAAAAAACTAACTAGCTTAGAAGCTTGCAGATTTCTGGAACTGGAATCATGTAGAAATCACTTATTGTGATGGTGGAAGCTACCTTGGAGATGTTGAGAAACCTGTCCAAGTTTTTGATACTGAGACAAACAAAGTAAACAGTATTTGGAAAGTATTTGTACTATCATTTGGTATTGCAGACCCGCTATCTTTACTACAGAGGGCGAAAGATATGGAATTACACCATCAGAAACCTTCTGCAGAAAGGCATGAAACATGCAAACCAGGTAAGGTAAAAGATAATATTTTTTGTAACTATAATTTTATTTTATTTTTTTAGGTTCTTCTATCTGGCTGTTCAGTAGGGGCTACTGCCACAGCAGTTTATTGCAACGATTTCAAACAGTTATTACCTCATGCAACAGTAAAATGCTTAATGGATGGTGGGCTTTTTGTGAACCTGTAAGTTATTATAGTGTATATACTATAATCGTAATTAAAGGTTTAATTTTATTACAGGCCTGATATTACAGGAAACTACTCGTTGCAATCCATTTTTGACATAACAGTGAGGGAACACAATATTACATTGGGCATTGAAAGAAATTATGTTCCAACAAATGCAGCATATAAGGTAAATATTCAATGTTTTATTATTTTTATTATGAAAGACATTCTATTTCAGCAACTCTTTCCTCCATATATTTTGCCATCTATTAAGCAACCCATGTTTCTTCTTAATTCTGCATATGATACTTGGCAGATTAGAAACACATTACTATACCCAACTGCGGAATGGAGACCATGTGTCTTAAATTCATCTTCTTGCCATCCCAGGCAGCTCCAAATCTTACAAGGTACAAAAGATATAAACAACACTCATATTCACAGTTTATGTTTTTTCAGGCTTTAGATCAAGTTTCCTAACAAATATTTCACCTGCTTTTGAGAAAGAAAAATGGGGTTTCTTCATCAATTCATGTTTTCACCATTGTCAAGGTGACGTTTCCACAGTTCGAGTAAATAACCAGGTAGAATCAATATTTGCTTTTGGAGGTTTTACTATCTAGTTTGTATTGGCAGACAATTCTGGAAGCAATTGGAAATTGGATGTACGAAAGACAAAAGAAAGTCATCCTAGTGGATTTTCTTTCATGGCCAAATAATCCAACTTGTGTAACATATTTTGAAGATACTTGGCTTTAAGAGACAAATATATTTTTATAAAATTTCAAAACCATTTAGAAAATATTACACGTATAGATATGTTTGCATGGTTTATGCATGGAACCATACTAAAGTTTCCTAATCTTTTCTAAACTCAAAAGTGTTATGGCGGTGCTGGTGTTCTGGAATTTTATAACCGGGGCTTAATTTATATACAACATTGGCGGGAATAACAGCAAACAAATCCCTCTACACTAAAGTGGACGATCTCGTTCTTGACATGTTTTTTCGTTGTTGATCTCGAGTCCGACCATCCACTGTAGAGTTTTACCACTGCGGCTGGAGTAACAAACTCTATGCTGCTAAGATCCAAGCATTTCAATCCCGCAGCCAATGACAACGCCTTGGATAATTGCTGGACGACTCCATCCTCTACCTCTCCTTCGTCTTCACTGTCTGCAACAATCTCAGTGCTGGAAACTTTGCTTGCATCACGGCAATTGCCAGCCAGTCTCAATTCCGCAAGGAAACTGTTACCTGCGAAAGCCATAACACGAAGATTAGATATCTGAACTTTCTCTCCAGGGTCGTACCTCGCAAAGATTTCAAGAGGCTTACGACACCATTTTGAGACAAGCCACAGTCGCTCAAGTCTAGCTTTCGCAGCACACAATTTGGCTTCTTGATTTCCTCCACAATTAATTGGACAGACTAGAAAAGCGAGAACATTAGATCACGATTGTGCTGACATGTTGATTACTTACCTGCGAGCTCAAATGGTTTCCAGCTAAACTCAAAGTCGCCAGTGCTGGACTGGTGACGAGATGCCTGTACAGACGATCACCAACCTCGGGTAATATTTTACAGCCGGTCACGTCTACTGTGGAGAGGTCTGACGAGTTCTCACTGATGGCATTACCAATTCTCTCCCAAAATTCCTGCAAAAGCCATACAAGTTACTCCAAAGCACCAAAAAGGTGCGACTCACAGGTCTCATTTCAAGCTGCCTCATTAAGAGCTGGGACAAGGTACTCGTTTCCTGGATTAAGTGAACAATGCCTTCCACTCCCGTGGGGCCACATACCTGTAACCCGGATATATCCAAGGCCTCGAAACTATATCGGACAAAACCGACCAAAATCATTTCGAAAACCATCGAAAGTATTTCATTTTTTTTGTTACCTTGGAAGTGTTGCCAACTTCTTTAATAAAGCTGTAAGAGCATACCCAGCTATCGGGTTGTTTTTCCCTGAAGAAGCAAGTCAGCATTTTACTACAGATTCAACATACTTGCCAATTGATAGCCTTTGCAAGCATGATCCTGATTGCAGCGCATTCGTGAGTTTCTGGCAAGTCAGAGTGGTCAGGCCGCACTCTTCCACTTTCAGCGTGTGCAATCCTGGTTCAAACTCAGGTTACTCCATACAATAAAAGCGAAGTAAAGACTCACTAGGTGCGTGTTCTAGTATTCGAGCCAAGTCATGTCCCACACCATCTGTAAGCAAGTTTCCGGATAGAATGATCACTTCTAGGCGCCGCAAGGTGATGGAACATTTGGAAATCTGCTTGGACAACCGCAAATATAAAGAAACGTATGCGAAAGTCTAACCTCAGAAAGTGAATTTGCGACCAGGTTGTTGTCGTGCAAGTCGAGCAACAAACCAGTGTCTGAGTTTTTCGTATCGCCTAGAATTTTCTGAAGACCCGTCAACCTTCCTGAAATCAAAAGCTTAAGGATTTTGGTAGATGCGAAAGTAGTAAAAAATACTTACCCAATTGATTGTGAGCAAGTTTTATGGAGAACAGTGAGCCAATATCGTCTAACGCCAGGAGCAAAGGCCAGATAGATACGTCGTCAAGGTCACAGTCGCATGCGTCTACTTCGCCAATTTTAATCTGCTGTACAACAAAATGTTTCTTAACTTAAAAGAAACATTAAGACAATAAAAAAAAAAACCTTAAGCTTGCTCTGGAGCTCCAGACTTGGCTTGAATTTATGTTTCTTACACGCTAAATCATATCGTTCGACCAACGGGACCGGTATCCATCCTAAAGCCAACATAAAACTGTAAAGAAAACCAACGGAAGTAAATGACCACACCTGTTATAGACACTGCCACCTCGTGTGAATCAACTTTAGCCAGGTCTTTGTAAATGTTACCAGAAGGTAGTATGGCACCTCCTATGGATAACTCCCTCAAAATGGGATGAGGACCTACGAGGAAAGCCATGATAAGTTTCTCGCAGAAAAAGCAGTAATATCAAGCACCTTCTGGCTTTGCAGACTTGTAGAGACGTAAAACTTCCTCCAAAAACGCTTCTACAGTTATGAACTCTGGATGCTGAGAAGAGGACAAGCATTTGAGATTCACATGAAGAACATGCCCGTCTACATTGACATGAACCACCTGAGATCAAATGGATAGAAGAAGATTAGTGTCCAAGCCATAGCAGAAATACAAAAGAAGCTTACGTTGGAGTCGCCATGAAGGTTAGAAACATTGTCGACGTCCATCCGCACGGCTCTATCGGCGCTCGCATCCCAGCTCTCATTCGGAGTGAGAGGTGGAGGTGTTCTAGCTCTATCGGCGCTAGCACCCGAGCTCTCATTCGGATTACAAGGTGGAGGCGTTCTAGCAGCATTACTTGGAAGAAAATCACCGTTTTCCGAGGTGGATCGTACTTCCGATGTGGAAGGCACTCCTATTACTTCCGGTGATCCAGGGGTAGCCTGGAAACCAGATTCTCCAGCTCTGCTGGCACTTTCTTGCTCTTCTGTGTCATCATCAGATAGCACGATCCGGTGGCGTTTCCGAGAATTTACCGGTGGGACTTTTTTCGCTTCTTGGTGCTCAGAATCGCTGTCCGTTTCTAAGCAAACTAGCTCATCTTCAGCAGCAGAATGGCCTGGCCTGATCAGGAATTTTACTTTCGTAATCTTGGACTCCACTTCTCTGCATGAGAAAAGAAAAATTAAACGTCATTGGAGCACTATTATAAATAGTTAGTCCACCTTGCTCGGTCGAAGTCCTCAAAGCGAATATTATAAGCATACTGCATGTTTTCCAGCGCGCTCTTCTGCTGCTCCAGCATCTCTGTTTCTCCTTCAGACACCGCCAATCTATGTCCAAAAGTAAAACTCAAATGACATAGAAACCGTTCCTTACTCGTATGCTTCCTCGTAAGCCTTAAGAGCAGCTTCCCATTCGCCATTAGCGTCCAGAGCATTACCATAGTTGTTCTTAGCAATGGACTGGCCCTGCAAGTGAAAACATGTCAAGAAACTACAAGTACATCTGCCATTTTGATTTCTTTTCCTCAAACTTACTTCCAAGTTCTTCGATCTTTTGGATATCTGAAAGCTTTTCAAGTGCCACTTTTTGGCCTTCTCGAACGATCGCAGATGATAGTATGCTTGTGCCACCATTCCAAAGGCGTCACCTATTTTTCCAGAGTCTCCAAGCCGCTTTGCCGCCCGCTTTTGCTGTTTCGTCAGCTTAAGAAACTGCAAGCATACACTCTCTTTCTCGGTCAAGTCTCACAAGTAAAGAAAAGAAATAAATTAGCACTGACTTACCATGTCCCAATTGCACACAGTTTCCGCCTGGCTCACGAGCTTGCCAAGTAGAATGTACTCTTTCTTGACGTTTCTTTTGTCTCGTTGTAATTTTTGAAGTTTAAGCAGCCCCTTAGATAACTCCTGCATAATCTCTTCCGCGTCTTTCACCACCTGGATATTTTCTCTCACGTTTGCAGCGAGAGCGTCTTCATCCTGCAGCTTCCCCACAATCGTAAGGGCGCGTTTGTAAATCTTCATCGCGTCCTCATAGTTCTGCGTCTTGAACGAAAGGTCTCCCAAGTTTATCAGCCCCTTAACTTCGCCTTGCAAGTTCCCAACCACCTTGCAAATCATGATATCGAGCTGCATGTGTTCCTTGGCGTACTGCCAGTTCCTTCGCTCGGTATAGAGCCTGCCAAGGTTGTGATGGATCCTGGATCGAACCTCGTTGTTCGGAGCAACTTCTTCATCGTCGCAAATCTTCAGAGCGTGGTACAAGTACTTCTCAGCCTCTCTGTGGTCGTCGAATACCATCTTCATGAGTCCCAGATTGTTATGGGCGTCGGCGAGCATGCAGCCAGCGTTCCCTTCCTGTGGCATCTGCGCTACCAGATTCAATGCAGTTGTGAAAAACTCTTGGCATTTCTTGATGATGGTCGAGAAAGGAATTCCAGTATCGTCGTCTCTCTCGAAGAGATCGAGGTAGCTCCGACCAAGCTGTGTGCTTGCTCGCTGCTGCTCGAGTACATCACCAGTCTCTTTGGCTAGCTGGTAGTGTCTCTCCTGTTAGGATGGAGAAAGGGAACGATCAGCAGAGAAGAGGAGAAAAAAGATGGCTGAATGAAACTACAAAGAAAAGAATGATTTTTCTCAGAAAAAGGAAGAGGGCATCGAGAGAAAAGAGGTTCTCTTTTCCTTGGGGGTGAGAGGAGTACCTGATAGACGAGAGCTTCTTTGTAGTCTTGCATTCTGCTGTAGATTTCTCCCATGGATTGGCAAGATGGCATCAATCCAGCAGGAGACATGCTCCCAGAAGCCTTTCGACCTGACGCGATCTCATAATCCAGGCGAAACCACTTGAGCGCCTCCACATACTCGCCCCGATCTTTGAACACATGCCCAATCTGGTTTGCCCATCGCGACTCCTCTTCCCTGTCGCCGATCTGCTTGGCTTCCCTGTAGCTTGCCTTCATCGATTCCACGTTGCCACATTGCCCGCCGCTCTTGCGCCTCGCCATCGCTCTCGCTCATGGATTGGCAGAAGACCCTAAAGCTCAACAATTCTCCTAGGGTTTTGGGTCAGAATGGCGGGAAAATTTGAAATTTCGTGTTTATTGGGTAGCGCTGGCTTAGGGTTTTAGGGCAGAGCAGAGTTTTAGGGTTCTTGAGCGGCGGCGATGGGGTCTGAGGTGAATCCAAAGGCGTACCCTCTGGCGGATGCGCAGCTCACCAATACTATCCTGGAAGTCGTCAATCAGGCAGCGAACTACCGGCAGCTCAAGAAGGGCGCGAATGAGGGTAAGATTTCTTCGCGAGCGTTTCTTTTGGTCTCAAACTCGATTCTTGCAGCGACCAAGACGCTGAATCGCGGCATGGCGGAGTTTATAATCATGGCCGCGGACACGGAGCCGCTGGAAATCCTCTTGCATTTGCCCCTTTTGGCCGAAGACAAGGTGAGAGTTTAGCGCTTTGCTTTTTCCTTTCGATTCTCACTTCTCTTTCGATGGGTGTAGAATGTTCCCTATGTGTTCGTACCGTCGAAGCAAGCGCTGGGGCGAGCTTGCGGCGTTTCGAGGTCCGTGATTGCAGCCTCGGTGACGTCCAACGAAGGCAGCCAGCTCAAGAGCCAGATCGAGCAGCTCAAGGCAAGTTTCTAGATCTCTTGGATGTTTCTTTCAGTTCTCATGGGATTTTTCTTGCAGGGACTGATCGAGAAGCTGCTGATCTGATGACTATAGCGAAGAGAAGAAGAGAAGGAATCTAGTTTTTCTTGGATACTGATGAGATGGTCAAGGGACAAGGATGGTGGTACCGTGTGACTTGTCTATCATTGAAGTTCCAGGCAATGTTAATATTTCTTCAAATCTAAAAGTCATGGAGTGCATTTTAATTTTCTACCTTACGACATTATTGTGAAAACATGCTTTACTAGAACGATGTTTTTTCCTTTTTCTCCTTAGGAGCTTCGTTTTACAAAGATTTGAGACTAATGTTTGCTCTTCATTTATTGTCCACTTTTGCTGATTGTTCAGGGCACCTTCAAAACTAGCGTGATTTGTGGTGAGCATGAGATTGTCTTGTCTGGGATCTTGTGGACCTTATCACTCTAGATGAGCAATATTTGCTCTTTTACTGCTGCAGATTCTTCCTCAAGTTCCCACTCTAATTCCATGGTGAAATCACTCTCCTTATCTACTGTTGTCCTTAGTTTGTTGCTCCAGCTCCATGGTAACATCATTTTGCTCCTCGCCCAAATTGGATTGAGTGCCCTGGATCAGCATGTGGTGGAGTGCCGAGCAATCACAGACGTGTGGGCAAAGTAGGTGCTGCTGTTGCAAGAAGGCCATGAGCTCCTCCACGCTCCCAAATGTAACAAAAGGCTGCTGTGATGCACTGGGTAGTTTTTGAGGTGGTGGATGTACTTGATTAGCATGCATTTATCTCTTCTTACTACCAGATAGATGAAAATAATTTATTAAGGGCGATGAGAATGTACCACAACCCTTGGATTAGATTTATATTTAAAAGTGCTATGTATGGTTGCTTATATCTGAAGGTTTCATATTTGTCTCATCAAATCAAAGATCCTTTTATGGTCGTTGGTTGAGGAAAGCTTAAAGGTATTTTACTCCTTTGTTTTGTTGATTTAAATCTTATACTTATAACAAAATAACATAAGTAATTATGTTGTAATATTAAAACTATTCAAGCTTAGCAATAGTTTGAGAGAATCAAATATATATAAAAAATACCTTTTGTATTTTTTTTATTTTCCATATGAAATTTTTTTATATTAGAATAAAAATAATGGAATAAAAAGCTAATACATTGAGATCGTCTATAAATAATAAGTCCTATCCAATAGTTTATTAATTTAATTTAAAATTAAATTTAAAATTTTTATGTTTGTGTATAAGTTTATACTTTTTTATTTATTTTTTAAAAATGTATTTTCAATCACCTATGAATGGGGAGATAATGGACCAGGGAAAAACTTAGAGGAGCAAGATATTAATAATATTATAAATGGATTCATAGACTTATAAGAGATATTGATTATTATAGATATTATTCTACAACATATCAAGATTTAACTCTAATAGAAACTTCACGAGGAATTATTTGTGCTAGGATAAAACGATTTGAGCATCAATCGAATACTTGTGGAACAGGTAAGGTAACTAATACAGTGATTAAAGGAATAAACTTGATGCAACGCTTAAACCCATTAGTTCAAAATAATCATGAAGCAATGGTTTTAAATCGTGCAAGCTCAGCTAAAATCACATCAATAAATTATCAAATACAATATTCTATGGCAGTATGGTGGTCACAACCACTATATATATATAATATAAGAAGTCAAAATTCAAAAGACTGTGATATTGCAAGTAATACACTTGAAAGTGGTAGTCAACTTTTATACAAGGGAGATTTCTTAATATCTCCAAATGGAAAGAATATTTTATTATTAGAATCTAAATGCAATTTAGTATTATATTCAGAAAGAAATAAAATTTGGGATACTCCAATAAATATTAATTATAATAATTGTTATCTAAAAGTTCAAAATGATGGTAACCTTGTCATATATTCATATAAAAAAGAGGTTATATGGGCAAATAATTTTTATTGCCGTTATCAACCAAATTGCCTATTATTTACATATTATACTTTGCAAAATGATTGTAATTTTATTGCTTATAAAGTTGAATCACCAAACAATATTTGGTGGTCTTCAAAAACAGCAAATCACAAATTATGTAAGTAAAATTAAAGATATATATGTATGTATATATACATAGATATAACTTAGACTGAATTTAAAGAATTTAGCTTATATAGGATATTCTAAGAATATCCGTTTCAAAGATATTTTTATGAGCTAAAGACCATTTTGCAAATCTATTATATTATGGATTTTTTAGAAATCATACTGCTAGAAATCTACTCTCGCAATATCTCACCGTATATGCATTCTTTGCTTTTTTGGATTTTGACACGTAGTATTCAAGTATTCATAAATTTCATAAAAATCTAGTTCAAACAAATATTCTAATACGAATATACTATGATAAAATCTGATTGAGTTATAAACGACTCTGCGACTTCGTGAAATGGTGCAAGCGTGAACCTCATGCAAATGCACGATCCAACCAGTGAGTCTCTTCTCCTCTCAGCATTTGCCTGTAATGGGCAAATCTTTGAGGCATTCTATTTTAACTTAAACTTCTGTGAAAAGCTTTTTTGTGAAGGCTTTAATACGGAATGATGATTCTGAGACTTTAGACCACTCAATCCTTAACACTCAACTGGATAAGACGCTATCATGTCTTGGAACCACGTAGTTGAAGTTCCTAGTTCATATAAAAAGAATGTCACTAGCCCGGTCAGTGCAAATCGTTGTGGGCAATGTTGAAAGCAGCAGTCGATTATCTGGTGGATCATATTTCCTGCTGATCCATATAGAGTTTACAACAAGGGCAAAATCTATCAACAGCATTCCAGGTTCGTGTAAACTTGCTTTACCAAAAGTAACTCTTGTGTTCTTTTTTCTTTTTGTTTTTGTGCGTGCTAGCACAAACTCGTGCTGGGTGGAGCAGCAAGAGCAAGCTGAAATTCAGCTGGGAAAAAGATGTGGATTCCTGAGAGATGAGGAGAGGTGAAGTTTTCAGTGACTTTTTCTTGTCAATGGGGTTTTAATTTATCCTCTATAAACCATAGAGTCCAATTTCAACCTGCTCAAAACCGGGAAAGAGCTCTTCAAGATTTTTAGGGGGGGTGGGACGAGGGGGACAAAGTAGAACTGGTACTCAAGGCTGTGACGTCCAATCTCCAAGCTTCCGAAGTTCTTGGTGTTGAACTCTGTCGACTTGGGGAGGTACACGTACTTTTGTTCCTAAACATGTGCTGCCAAATCCATATTGGTGGTTTTCACATCCATTCTTCTTCTCCAGCCTTGCTTCTTCTTCTAAAAAACGGCCACAGCTCCTTCTCTTTCACTATCTTCCCTTCCTCGCCTCGTTTGATCAGTGTGTCCAGGTGGGCCGCGAGTGAGACAATCAATCTGGACCAAACCTTTGAGATAGTTGCTCGAGCCGAGGGGTCTGTGTCCTCGAACAACCTGGCGCAGCGAGCCTTCCATATCTCTGCTAGTGTGCATCCCTGAAGCACATCGATGAGCTCCTGGTGGAGATGCTTAATGTGTGTCCAAGTTTGGTTGAGTTGATCAAAGTGTGGGGCCTCATTGTGTCTCCACTTCCATACATCAGGATTCTTTGTTTTTCCTTGGATGAAGCTACCCCAAAGCACTAATTCATATATGATTGCAACTCCTCCAATTGACATTCGTTTGAGTACCGCTGCTGCACCTTCCCATATATCATGTGCTGCCGGACATTCCCATAAGATGTGTCACTGTGTTTCTGTGGTGCCACAGGTCTTGCAGGCTGTGTTCGGGAGATGTATGGCCACCAGAGAGGGAAGACATTCTTGTTGGGCCAGCCACATGAAGTAGCAGTTCTTAATTGACTAGCGCCCCTTCCAGATCTTGTTGATGCAGTGTGAGTGGTTCCTAGAGTGGATCTATTGGGCCTTTGCTTTCCGGATGAGGGAGGATCGAATCAGCACCCTGATCAATTTTCAGCCCAGCTTGGTCTCATACTGGAAAAAGTCCTTGCACATGGTTCCTCTCCAATGCCACTCTACAGGATCCCACTTGAGTTCATCCAGGGTTTATTGGCAGAACCAGTAGAGGCGAGCATATTGTTTTTCTAGGATTAATGGATCAATGTTAGCAGTTTTTTTCTCCATTTGAATCACTCTGATCAGTTTAGCTCTACTCAAATGACTTTTTCTTGTGAGTGTGACCTTTTGGTCTGGCTTAAACCAAAACTAATCTATTGTTTATTCAAACCTTTATATAGAGTTTAGAAACTTTTTTCAAATGTAAAAGTCATGGAGTGCATTTTTATTTTCTCAACTTCATTTTTACATTATGGCTTCACTAAAATGAATTTTTTCTTTTTTTTTCTCTCTTTAGGAGCGGGACGAATGTTTTTTCTTCATTTATCATCCATTTTTGCTGATATTGGCATACAAGAGTTTGGGGGTTTGGTTTCTAAGATAGAACACAATGTTGTTGACACTGGTAATCGCAGCAGAGAGTTCTGGATCTAGTGTGGGACCGTCAGTTTCCGCGAGTGGCTCTGGTGTTGAAGCGGCAGCTTCAGTAGGATCTAGTAGTTCGTCAGCTAGCGTCATCATCAACTTCGCCAGCTTTAACGGGATCATCACCATCAACACCGGCTTCTGGAGAATCCACACTAGCGTCGTCGATGCCTGGATCGTCTACTCCAACGCCATCCGCTTCGACTAGATCAAGCACGCCAGGCCAAACTTCGAGCTCATCCCCGCAGACTGGATCAAGCTCAGCTCTACCTGGCACTGGAACTGGATATGGCACGAGCTACTTGGGTAGAGACGTCGGCTCACCTGCGAGTTCTTATGTCTTTGGCGCTCCATCAGATGCACCACCAAGCTCTCAAACGCCTTCTCCATCGCCATCACCAGCAAATGCAAATCCTTAGCAAATTCTCTCTCCTCCTTGTCGCAATCTGTAGCAACCAGGAGCTCTTTCGCTGGTTCATCCAGAGGAGGAGGAGCTGCTGCTGGAAACAGGATCAACAACTGGACATCGGTGGGCGAGATGAGGTGGCACTACTTCCCAAACTGCCATAACGACCGACGGGTGGATTCGTCATCCCCGACGGCTCCAGGAAGTGGAACTCGCGGCGGCAGTACTTCCCGTACGAGGATTTCTCCATGCCAGCAAAGAGAACGTACAAGTCCCCGGATCCAAAGGCTGGCTGCTTTGTTCTTCCCGATGGCTCTCGCAAGTGGAACTCAATCGACGAGATGAGGAGGCACTACTTCCCAGACGAGGACTTCTCCAAGCCTCCCAAGCCCTTTGGTTCCACAGGAAAGAGTGACAAGTAAGCTTGCGGCTTTGATGATAGCGTGTCTTTGCGTCTGGCTTAAACCAAAACTAATCTGGGAGGCACTTTGCTCAATGCTCGAGAAGTGCATGGTCATGGAAGATTTCACGAAGGGAGTGATCTTCATCACTATCACTGCACAGACTCGAGTGACATACTGCCAGGAGCTTGGATTCTTGCTTCATTGTCAAAGGGCGGAATAACCTCTTATGGCGATTGTGGAAGTTCCAAGTATCACAATGTTGATGTTTCACTTCTTCATTGAGAGATATCAACGAACATTTTCTTAACTTTGTAAGAAAATATTGTTATTTTCTACATAGAAAGTACAATTTGGAATTTGTAGGGCTTCCTCCAAAATTCACGGCAATTCGATTATTCCGCTAAGGGTAATTTGGCATATTCTGTTAATTATGATTTAAAGTGGAAGAAAGAAACAAATGTAGGGTTTTTGGGATGGAGCCAGCGAGCGAGAAAATGGAGGGAGCTACTGCCGCAGATCCCATTCCTCCCGTCTCGTCCAAGAAGACGCCTCTCGGTAAGACGCTCGCGCTGGATTTCGATCATCGCTCACTGATGATGGAGCGATTGAATGGTTGAATCCAGGCACTGGGCCGTGGTATCGCTATCGGCATGTCGTCTACACGCTGCTGGCTTTGAATGCCGCGATGGTGTGTAAGTATCGCTTTTCGATCCAGATAACGCTAGATCCTACACTCTTTTTCTTCTCTGCGATTCGCAGCGTATGCGGTGTTTAACCAAGACAAATTCTTTGCGAAGAAGGAGAAGGCTCCCGAGGAAGAAGGACAAGCCAGTGTCAAAGAGGAGGCTTCTTCCGGGGAGAAGGAAAAGAAAGAAGCAGTGTTCGTCCCCGCTACTCAATCCAAGGTATGGATGAAGTAATTCTTTGCTTGAGCTCAAAGTTTTCTTCTTTTTTCTTGCTTTAGATCGATCAACCAAAGGTAGTGGCTGCCCCGGAAGCTAAAGTGGAAGAGAAAAAGATGGAGGCTCCAGTGAAGAAGCCGGAAGCACCGCACGTATCTCACGACGAGCAAATCGAGCTTTACAAGTGGATGCTGGAAGAGAAGAGGAAGATCAAGCCATCCAGCTCCGCGGAGAAGGCTCGGATCGATTTGGAGAAGGGACTTCTCAAGGATTACATCAGAGGCAAGGTACCATCGCTCTAAGCTTCTCACAACTAAAAAGGAATTTTGATACTCTTGAGTGAGCTGTGATTCAATTTTTTTGTAGTAAGCTTCACAAGTTTGTGAGACGTAACGAAAGATACTTCGTCTCTTTCTTAAGAAGTTCCAGTGTTCATGTGGTTTAAGCCGAGCTCCTCGTTTTGCTCCCAGGAGCGCTCGTATTCTCGAACTAAACGCATGAAAACGATCGTTGTAAAATCACCAATGACGAAAGAAAAGTTCACTCACCAGATATTTGATTGTCATCGCTTGAAGAATCCGTACATGGAGCGATGAATGAATTGCCAAGGGAATCATCCAAAACAAGCGTCCATGACTTTTTCAATTCCAGTAGCTAGTGTCGTTAAAACACAGTACATAGTCAGCCAAAAAACCAACAAAGTATACATGACTTACATCTTGCAATTTGGCATCAAATTCCATCCACTTTTGTCTTGTGACAATCTCCGCACTGTCTCCGATTTCAAATCCATGGACACTCTTGAGCTCTTGAAGATAATTCAATACGTCAGAATCACTGCTTGATCGGAGAGTGCTTACTTGCTTTCAGAGATTGTCTTGACTAGTCCTTCGACTGTCGTGACGAGACCGCCAAGTGTTCCGGGCATTAGTTCAAGTTCCACCTCCGGAATCTCTACTCCCGCTGTGTCTGACTAATCGGAAAAGATTAAAAAAAAAAAGGTATATCACTACCATAAACATTGCAAGAACTTCTTACTTTGATCAAGTCTCTTGTCAAGTCTATTTGGTTTTCCACGGCGAGAGATATTTTCTTTCCTTTAGCTGATATGCTTCCACCAGGTTTCACCTAAGTGTAAGATGATTTTCACAACAAAGAACCAAAAACAGAAGCTTACTTCGGAGTTTCTAAACCCGCAAGTATCGCAAGATGCTGCCATCACTATTACCTCCTTGAAATATGGTATATCTGGAACAAAGGATGAGTACTACAACGAAGGAAAGAGAAACAAAAAGAATACTTGTCATGTACATGCGTGTTTCACATCGTCCCGCACAAGCTCCACAAGTGGCTGGAAAAGTCATCACCTGTCAAAGAGCCTCTGGTAAAATTCTCAAAAAAGAAGAAACAGAGTACACACCTCCTCAGGAGCCGTGTACTTGAAAAGTGCAGCAGAGATCTGCTCGCTATTCCCCTGTGCTATAGCTTGTTGAGCAAGCTTAGCACCAACGGCCCCATGTAACTCCTCGACAACATCTTCTTCTTGCTTTCCGTCTTCGTTTTCGCGATCTACGGACAAAAACCCGAGCGCCTTTTGCTGCTCAGGCGTCCTGTCGTAGTGCTCGCACAACAAAATTGGATCCTCTTTAGGTGCATTCCTGTAGTAATGAAAACGAGGAAAAGCAAAATCAGGAAATAAGCCAAGAAAGACAAGACAACATACGGGTTTTCAATAAAGCTATTCCCAGATGGATCTTCCAGTGAAAATGTGAAAGCCTGTTCACCTCTAGCATACGCCCTTAACTTGAGGATAAACGCGTCTATAGAAGCCGCAGTGTGAGGGTCCACTTTCTACAAAAAAATTGGATGATACTTAACGTTTAGCGCAATAAGAGAAACAATCTTTACCCGACGCTCTTCTTGCAATCGCTCCAAATCATCTCCAGCTTTGAGGAGAACTCCTTCCACCTGTAAGTAGTAATTTTGCGTTTCGATCTTTGTCTTGAAAGTAACGTAAGGCATACTGTAGAAAGAACTCCTCGCTGGGCTTCCGGTGGCACTTCAAAATCCAACTCTGGGACCTGAGGAAAAAAATAAAATAAAATAAAAAAAACAATCAAATAAGGCATGGAATCATACCTTGATTGTAGCAGAATCTGACTTCACTACTTGGCGATTCAAGGCCTAGAAAAAAATGTTTGAGTGGGATAACGAATCGGCTTTGTCTCACCTTTAAGTCATGCTGTGGAACACTTAATGTGAAACGGCAGCCTTGCGGTTGGAGTTGCCCAGCGAATTGTACTTCATTGTTCCTAGCAAAGGAAAAAATAAAACAAAAATTTCGAGCTACTGAAATCCGAAAGAGAGAGCAAAGTTTCTAACCTCTCGTTGCAATGTGGACACTCAAACGCCATGAGAACGATCTAGATAAACCAAAATCATTCACGGATTGCATAGCTACTATTCATACCTCTCGAAAATGGGGAATCGTCGTGAGAAGCAGCCGCGTCGTCCCCTGGAACATCAAAAACCCGCAAAATCAGTACCAGCGCAACCAGAAATCTCCAAAATCACTACATTCTCTCCGCAAGACATGCACAGGCTCTCCAGCTCGTGCGCGTCCTCCGCCATAGCGCATAAACCCTAAAACTCTAACTCGTGATAAACCCTAAACACCCAGGCCCAACTTGAGCTAACCACAGCCATCCACGTGGCGTAACCTGGAGGTCGCATAAACTCACATTTATACTAGCGCTTGGCGTGGCTAGGAGAAAATGGGGATGCCTTGCGCCTGCCTCACGCCTTCTCCAGATTTTACAAGCTCGATCAGCTGGAAGCATCGTGGGCAGCTTTAAATCTCTCCTGCGAGGTATGTGGAAGGCTTGAATGGATGGATTGATCGATGAAACTTGTAGAACTTTCATCGCGGATGGATCGTTCTTGAAGAGCAAAAGGGGGAACGAAGCTTTTTCTCTTGGTCACTGAATCACGCTCCAATCCATTCCACTCCAGTTTCGATCGAATGGCTCCGTGGGTTCTTCTTATCAATGCCACCAAGATCGTTGGCGCCGCTGGAGTCCTCACCGTGGCTGCAAACACGATTGGCTATCTCCAGTTTCGCAGAAAAAAGCTAGCTCCGTTTGAGTGCCCAATCGACGAGAGCCAGGAGCTTCTCGCAAGCTTTCCAATCGACAAGCCTGGTAAGTTTCTCTTCGATGGTTTTTAGAAAGAAAAATCGGTACTTGACAAGAAAAAGAGTGTTTTTTTTGGTTCCAGCTGAAGATGGAGGATTTTTCTTCGCTCTAGCAACAGCCCCAGCTCACGTCGAGGACAACCTCAACGATGCATGGCTTGAATTTGCAAGGGAGACTGTTCCCGACAAGCAAGAACAGGAGTTTATCCAAGAACGAGAGATGGACAGAGACGATGCGAGAAAAGATGAGAACACTTTCCGGCAAGCATCAGACGAGCTGTTGGCGTCAAAGTCCAAATCTGCGACGGCTGGAGAACTCACGGAGTGGGAAGTTGTCGATGAGAAGGAAAAAGCGGAAAGATCGAAATCTCCCAAGAGTGACCAGATTTCTGAGGAACAGGTGCTGGATTCGAGCTTGATAAGGAAAGAAAGTGCTACTCCTCCGGCTCTTCTTCGAGCCAAGAGCACCACTGAAGAGCCGCGTTTGCAATTCAATTATCCAAAGAAAGGGAGGAAGCTTGCCAGGGTGGCTATGGAGGCCATGATTCGAGGCATTGAAAGGTTCGCTGAGGACGAAGAGCCGGAGGATGCCAAGCTTAATGTAGCTGCCTGGCACAACGTTGTTCACCCGTAAGTTTCTATACTTTCTTTCTTTCTTTGCTCTATCTTGTTGCTGCTAGTTCTAGTTTTTTTCGTTTCTCTTCGTGATCATTCATGGTGACTGTTTTATCTTTATTTTTTTTGTGATCAGTGAAGAACGAGTTCGATTTTGGAGCGATCCAGACACCGAGCTCCGACTCTCGCAAAAAACCAACGTCACTGTTTTCCGCATGGGAGTGGACTGGACGAGGATAGTTCCTCTGGAGCCAAAGGACATCTCGTTTGAGCAAGCAGTAAGTTCTCACGACAAAGAAAGATCGAAGAAACTAAAAACCGTGTTTTTCAGGTGAATTGGAGCGCGGTGAAGCGATACAAGCATATAATCGAGCGAGTTCGTGCTCACGGGATGCGAGTCATGCTCACGCTCTTTCACCACTCTCTTCCTCCCTGGGCTGCGAGCTATGGTGGCTGGAAGGAGGAACGAACTGTCAAGTATTTCCTGGATTTCACGAGGTAAAGATCACGAGGGATTCAAAGTTTCAGAGTTCTACTGAGAGTTCTTCATTGTTTTCCTAGATTGGTGGTCGAAGAATACGGAGAGATGGTGGATTTCTGGGTGACAATTAACGAGCCGCACGTCTTTGCGATGCTGACTTACTGCGCTGGAGCGTGGCCGGGTGGTCATCCGGATCTCTTGGAGACCGCAACCGCGGTGATGCCGAGAGGAGTGTTTAATCGAGTCATGGATTTGATGGCCGATGCTCACAACCAAGCTTACGATATCATCCACGAAATAAGGTGCTTGTTTTTCTCATTCTTTGTTCGCCAAGTTTTCTTATTTTCTTCTTTTGAGCAGTCGAAGACGATCCCAGACGACTCAAGTTGGGATATCTCATCACGTATCTTTTGTTCGTCCCTACGGTCTTTTCGACGTCTCGGCAGCCGTCATTAGCAACTGGAAGACACATTTTCCATACGTTGATGCTGTGTGTAAGAAACTGGATTATCTCGGCCTCAACTATTACGGTCAGGTGATATTCCATCTATTTTCTCAAACAGAAGTAAAAAAAAAACGTTTTTTTTTTCTTCAGGAGTTCATATCAGCACCAGGATTAAAGCTGGTTGAGAACGAAGAGTATAGCGAGTCAGCACGAGCGATATATCCGGATGGGCTCTATCGTGTGCTCTTGGCATTTCACGACCGATACAAGAGCTGTGGCTTCCCTTTTATCATCACTGAGAATGGAGTCTCGGATTGCACAGATTTGATTCGCAGGCCTTACATCATCGAGCATTTGCTGGCCATTCGTGCTGCCATGAACAAGGCGAGCTTCAAAGTTTCATCTTTTCTCTTTGCAAAAAGTTTTGTGACATAACTTCAATCTACAGGGTGTTCCAATCCGAGGCTATTGCTTCTGGACCGTCTCGGACAATTGGGAGTGGGCTGATGGATATGGTCCGAAGTTTGGATTAGCTGCTGTGGATCGCCGAAACAATCTCGCGAGGTGTCCACGACCCTCGTATTATCTCTTTGCAGAGGTTAAGTTTTCTTTTCAACTTTTTGTTCCTGAGTAAGTTTTCTTGGTTTTGTTCCAGCTCGCAAGAACTGGAAAGGTCACGAGAAAG